GGGAAGTAGCAACAAAGCGGCTCTCGATGACCTTAATCGCGCAGAGCTGAAACAATCAAGAGTGAGACAAAGCCGCCGCGGGGGTCCCTGTGCCGCGCCCCGGGTCGGGCCGGCGGGGCTGGAGCCTTCAGGAGCAGGTCCGAGGCTGCTGACCTTCCCGGGGCTCCCAGGCAGGGGCACGGGGGACGCTGGGTGGGGGGCAGCTCCCTTTCACACGCCCGGCCCTGGCGGGGCCCCCCAGAGCACTGGGGAGCAGGGCTGCGTGGGGCTGGACTCCGGCCGCCCCCGCAGAGCAGGCTGCAGCCAGGCACCTGCCCAGCCCCCACTCTAGGGCCTGGGAATGGGATGCAGGGAGACCCCACCACAAGGGCAGGGGTCCTCACGACGACACTCAGGAGAATGCGGGTGGGGGGACAGCGGCCTGGCCACAGGAGAGCGAGCTGCTGATCCTGGCGGCTCTCCTAGGCCCCCGAGCTGTTTCCAGCTTCTCTGCCCACCTGGCCCTGCTCTGCCTCCCAGACCAGGCCTGCTACAGCCAGGAAGCACGCCCTACGATGGGGGTCCCTGGGGATGGCATGCCCTGGCCTGTGCAGGCACCGCGCTGTCCACCGACCACTGTCCTGCTCACCCGGCCCGCCAAATGGCTGCCTCTTTCCAACACCCCCTGGCAGGAGGTGTAACGGAGTCACACCAACAGACCCCCAGGGAACCACGCTTCTTACTGGTGGGCTTCAGAGCCCACCTGGGTAACTGACCTGTCCCTCCTGGGCACGGGCCCATCCTGCTCACTTCTGAGGAACAGACAGAACTTTCCAGAAAGGCTTTGCAGGCCCCTACTCAGAGCACTGACAGGCCCCAGCAATCAGATACCGGCTGCTCTGCGGGGAGGCACTGGCTGCTCCTTCTTCGGAGGCCCAAGGTTAGGCCCCCTGGTGTGGGGCTTCATCCCCAGGTGTCCCTGGTGGGGGGTACTCAGCCCTGCAGGTGTGGTGCGGCCACCCCCCAGCTTGGCCCACTCCTCTGCAGACAGGGAGCAAGGCGAGGCTACAGCCCTGGCTGCTCTCCAGCACAGGGTCCCTGCAGAGGGCAAACTCCCAACACCTCTTCTCTCAGTAAACAAAACTTAGGCTCGCTGGCGGGAGAGCCCACCTGGAGGAGGTCCCTGTCCTGGCAGAATCCTCCCCGCCAGCCTGGAAAACACCCAACCCTCACCTCTGAGGATGGTGAGAGGCTTGAGTTTAAGGGGCTGCCTGCGTCTGCTTGGCACCCACACCTGTCCAGGCTGTGACATGAATGACAGTTCCCTCCGCAAAGAGCCTGTTGGCTCTACACACACACACACACACACACACACACACACGTGCATGCACATGCATACACATAACTGCACACACGAACACAAGCACAAACACATGCAAGCACACACATGCATGCACAAACATGTATGCATGTACATACACATGCATGCAAACACGTGCATATACACAAGCACACGCACGTGCATGCACATGCATGCAAACGCGTGCACACATATGCAAGCATACACACGTGCACATACGCGTGTGCACAAACACAAGCACACACACGCACAGCGAGGTCAGTGTCCACCACCCAGGCAGCCTTGGGGTTTGCCCCTGAGACGGGGAGCTGGGAGCTGGTCCCACTCAGCAGCAGGCCCAGGAGGGGCAGCAGGTGGGGAGCCTGAGTCCTGGGGAGCAGAGGCTGGAGGGCGGAGTGCAGGGCCCAGAGCCAGCATCTTCCCCCGCAGGTCAGGCAGGAGGACTCAGGCTGCAGGAGCGCCTGCCTGGCCCCGCCCAGCACGGTACCAGCTCGCAGCACTCAGGGCAGAAGGAAGGAGCTCTCCAACGTGCTGATAAGTCCTCCGTGACCCTTGCCCGAGTGGGCCGCTCAGGATTCTTGCCGCACCCCTAGGGAAGGTGAGGCCAAAAGTGTCTCCCCATGGGAGAACTCAGCTCTCCCAGGTGCCAGCTCTGGGGCTGCAGGTCAGTGATGGAGCCCCCCACGCCCACCTGTCCAGCCCAGCTTTCACTGCTCTGCACCCTGGGCCTCTGCTTCCCTAGACTGGACAGAGAGGTTGCTGGGAGGGGCCGCGGCCCCGCCTTACACTCTTCCTCTCATCGCCAGAAACCGGCTCCTCTTCCTGCAGATAAGGAGGATGGTGCTGAGGTGGGTGCGGAGACAGACTGCAGATCGCTCTTCTCCGGGGTCCCTCATGTTCCCTCGTCAACGGCAGGCCCTTGGTTCCAGCATCACAAGGGGAAGGGGCCATGGGTGAGGGTCACCTCGTCCGTTCTGGACTCAAGTCTGAACCCAAACCAGGTGGTTGCTGTGACTGCCGGCACACAGGGCGGCAAGCGGCATTGCTGTGCGGGCGTGCAGGAGCCCAGAAGCAGCAGGGGCGAGGCTCGGTGAGAGCCGGGCTGAGGTGGTGCAGGACCTTCTCGTGAGGTCTTCAGGGGGAGGGCTCCCAAGGGTGCCCAGGGGCCTGGAAGCCACCCAGAGACTTCCTTAACCAGGCGGTCAGGTCAGTGATTGGGATGGAGCCGGGGTTGGGATGAGCAGGGCAGCGCTGCCCCCTGCTGTCTCCCGAGCGGGTGAAGTCTGGTGCAGGGCTTGGCTTTTCTGGGGAAGGCAGGCAAGTCACAGAGAAGGAGTCACAGTTCTACCCCCTCACCGGGCCATGGCTCAAAGGAATACCAGTCTGGCAGGGGCAGTGCCCCAGGTCCAACCCTGGTACCAGTGGCCCAGGCTCCACTGGGGTACCCCTGGTGGTCCCCAGCAGCGCCAGTAAGGCCCCAAACATACAAAATACCGTAACACTTTTGCCCCACCAGTTTTTTTTTTCTTTTTGGGTCACACCTGGCGATGCACAGGGGTTCCTCCTGGCTCATGCACTCAGGAGTCACTCCTGGCGGTGTTCAGGGGACCATATGGGATGCTGGGAATCGAACCCGGGTCGGCCGCATGCAAGGCAAATGCCCTACCCGCTGTGCTATCGCTCCAGCCCCTGCCCCACCAGTTATTGAAAAAGATTTAAGCAGAATTTAAAATGTCCTCACCACACTTTTTTGGGGGGGGTCCTCCCAAGGGTGCCTAGGAGTGGGTGACCATCAGCCAGGTGCTATAGATTCAAAGATGTGTCCAAGGATGTGGTGCTGTGCATTACCCGGGTACAGCCAGTGACATCTGGGGCCCCAGGTCAGGTGACACAGGCAGAAGAAGCCCCAAGCCCTGCACTCTCCCCTCTGACCACACAGCATCGGTGGCCTTTGCTTCCATTCCCATGAAGGAAACAGGTGGGTTTCACTGTAATAAAGCCAGCCTGTTATAGCCCCTCTCCAGCAGCAAAGCCCTGTAAAACCTCCCTAGAAAGGGAAATTCCTACCAGGGGTTTCCCTGCTCCTCCCGCTCAGAGCTGGTGGGGGGGTGGGAGGGCGGGGTCTGGCGCAGGGTCCCTGGAGGGCTCAGGAGTAACCAGGCTGCATTTATGGCTGAGGGCCAGGGTGGGGCAGCACGCAACTCTGTGCCCAGAATGGAGCAGATGAGCCCACTCACCCCGCAGTCCACCAGCGAGAGGCTTGTCCTGGGGTGCTCCAAACCAAGGCCGCCAGGCAGAGGGGCGGCTACAGCGCTGGGGCAGGTGACCCACCGAGGAAAGGCTGCAACTCGCCCTCCCGCCCTTCCGGGAATGGCTTCCACACACTGGGCTTTCCTTGGGAGCCTCCAGTCCCTCTGGGGGTTCCACGCTGGAAGGGGAGGAGGGAGAGGCTGCACAGGGCCTAGACCCCTGCTGTCTTGCTTCCTGGGCACAAAGGTAGCTGGAGCGACCAGCGCGCAAAGGGGGCCCCAGGAGCCACGGCTGGGCAGGGACCCGGACCTGGAGGTTATGGGCTCACTATTAACCCATCCGACGGCGCGACCCCCACACCACCCTGTCCTGCTCAGCCCTCCCCCCGGCACCCCCTGAGTTCACGCGCGTTCAGGCCCCGGGTCGGCTCCAAGACTCCCTGGAACCCTAATCCTCCCGTAGGTCTGCGGCGCCGCCGAAGGCGCTCCCCAGCCCCGCCTCGTCTGAGCAGCTGGTGGGAAGGTCGTCGGTGTGACCTTCGAGGGTAGGCGTGCGCGCTCCCGGCCCCAGTGGGTGAATAGGCGGTCCCTGGCTGCAGGCGCGTGGACGCAGGGCCCCCGGTCGCGCCAGTCTGCAGAGGGGCGCTCCCAAATCCTAGGGGCAGGGCAGAGGCGCGGCCAAAGGCAGGGAGATGAGCTGCCTGGGTACCTGGACCGGTGGGGTGCGTGCAGAGGTGATTCTGAGCGAGGGGTCCAAAGGTCCTGCCCGAACCCTGCGAGCTCGTTCCGTGTCTCACGTGCCCTCCACGAACGGAGGGAGGCCTGGATCTCCAGAACCGAGAGCGGAAAGGCCCCCGACCAGCTCCGCCCGGTCTGAGGAGGTGGGGGAGGGGCGCGCAGGCGGCCAGCTGCCCACCCCAGCGCCCCGGGCAATCCAGCCGCTCCCAGGGCGCATTGTTATGCGGCGCGCGCCCGGGGCCACTTCCTCAGCGGCTGCGGCCCCTCCTCCAGCAGCCCGGGGTTGGTTGGTCCCGGATCCCTGGAAAACGCTCCCGAGGAAGGCTTGGGGCTGGAGCCGAGACCGAGCGCCTGCCAGGCACGCTCGAGGTGGCGGGTCATTTCCCAGACACGCAAAATGAAAACGTTGCGGGATCCAGGGTTCAGCGGAGATGTAAAATCCCTGCTCCGGGGCCCGCGGTCAAGGGTGTCCCTGGGCGACCCTCCCCCGGGGGCCCACGTCTGGCGCTGCGCCCGCAGGAATGAGGGAACGGGCCTGCTGGACACCCGAAGTCTCGGGGTGCCGTCTCCCACCCCCAGGTCCCGGGAATCCGCACGCAGAGCAAAGGCAGGAAGGCCAAGTTTTTTCCCCTTTTATTCAGCGTCGGAAGGTTTGGGGGAGAGGGGGCCAGAGATCACTGGCGCGGGTCACCCAGGACGCCCCGCTCGGCCGCGGCGCTGCCCAGGATGAACCCCACGGCCAGGGACACGGTCTGGTCAAAGGAGCCGCGCAGCTGCTCCACGTGCTGGTTGAGGGTCAGCAGCTGGTCGCGCAGCGGGCCCAGGATGGTCACGATGTCGCCCAGGTGGCCCAGGGTCTGCAGCAGGGCGGCGTTCAGCGTCGGCGGCGCGGGCGCGGGCTGCTCCGGGCTGCCGGGCGGCAAGGCGGGGTCTTCCCGGGCGGGGGACGGCGGCGGCGGCGGCGGCGGCGGCGACGAGCCGTCGGGGTCTCGGAAGGGCGCGTGGCCCTCGGGGCGGCCGAACGCGGGGTCGAAGCCGGAGAGCGCCGGCGGGGAGCCGGGGGGCCTGGGGGCGTCGGCCTTCAGCGGGGACGCGCTGAACCTGAGCGTCCAGGACGGGTCCGCGTCGGCGTCCCGCGCGCCGGGCGGCAGCGCGGCCCCTAGGGAGGCGCAGCGCGGCCGCGTTAGGTGGGGCTGGCCCTCCCCCGGCCCGCGTTAGGTGGGGCTGGCCCTCCCCCGGCCCGCGTCAGGTGGGGCTCGCCCTCCCCCGGCCCCGCGGCGCCCCCGCGTTCCCACCCCCGCACCTACCCGGCTCGGCGGGCGCGCTGCTGGCCGGGCGGCGGGCGCGCTGCGGGCGCCCCGGGGAGCGGCGGCGGCTGCGGGGCGGCCCGTGGTCGCCCAGCAGCTCCACGAGCTCGCGGATCTGCGGGTCGAAGGGTCCCGGCGGCTGGTCGTGCGCGTCGCGCAGCTTGTCGCGGAGGAACTTATAGCGGCGGCGGCACTGCGCGGGGGTGCGGCGCACCTGCTGGCGGGCCAGCGCGGCCGACACGCGGCGGTAGGTGGGCAGCGCGCGGCGCCGGTCCAGCAGCAGCGCGCGCCACACGGCCGGCTGCAGCAGCGTGCCCAGCAGCAGCTCGGTCTCCCGCTCGCTCCAGGGCGTGCGCTGCGCCGAGCCGGGCGACACGGGCGAGCCGGGGGACGCGGGCGGCGCGGGCGAGCCGGGCGAGGCGGCCGGCGCGGGCGAGGCCCCCGGGTCCGCCTCGAGGTCCGAGCGGGCGGGCGACGGGGGCGCGGGCGGGGGCGGCCGCCGCGGCCGGAGCAGCATCCCGGGGCCGTCGGGGCGCGCTGGGATCTGAGCCCCGCGCGCGTCTGTCCGCCGTCGAGCCGGCTCTGCCCCGCCCCGCAACGCCGCGCCCCGCCCCTCGGCCGCCGCGGTCCGGCCGCGGGGGCGCCTGGGACGCGCGTCCGGCCGCGGGGGTCTGGGCGGGGGTCTGCGCGCGAGGCCGGTCGCGCCGACGGGACGGACCCGCGCGCGGGAGCCACGAGCCGCGCCGGCCGGAGAGGGAGAGGGCGCGCCGGGCCCGCGGTTTATAGGCACGCGCCGCGCCCGGCCTCGGCGCCGCGGGCCCTGGACCCTGAACGCCCCTGCGCCTCCCCGCCCCTCCAGGCGCCCCCCGGCGCCCCCGTGCGTGCTGCGCTCCCCGCCCCGGGAGTGGGTGGGCTTCGCAGCGAGCGCAGGAAGTGGCGGTCCGAGCGCCGAGGGCGGACCCTGTGCCCCCGCGCGCCCCGCCCCGTCCCGCCCGCGCGCCCCCTCCGCCCGCGAGAACTGCCCTGTGCGACCCTCTCTGCCGCGCCCGCCCGCCCCGAAGGCGCGTCCCCGGGACGAACTTCACCGGGCGCCCCACGCCCAGCGCAGAGTGGCGTTGTGTGGTCCCCCAGGTTGGGAATTAGGCAACTGTCCTGCATCATTGCTTCGCGCGGACTTTATTCGAGAAGCCCTGGTTAGAGCAATAGGACGAGAGAGAGTGCAGGATGGACCGGAGCTTCAGAGCGCGGGGGTCTGGGAATGCCCACGGACGCAGGTGCAGCTCGAGCGCGCGTCGCGCGGAGTCCACACACACGAGCTGTTTTTCCGGTCAGGCGGCCTTTGCAGCCGACCCCGGCAGTCGCACAGGGCCATCCTAGCCCTTCCTCGCCGCCCTTCACCTGCTTGCTTCCCGTGGACCCTGCCCTAGGCCTCGCCCTGGTCCCAGGATGCTGTTCTCACGTGAGACCATGAAAATGCTGCCTTGGAAAATCCCCCCCGGCCCCCTCCATCGCCTCTCCTGTCCTCTGGCCACGTTGCGTCTTATCGGGTGTCCATTTCCTCATCGGGCACTTTTGAGGACCCCTGCCAGGTAGTTGGTGGAATATTCAGTTGGGGTATGCCTGGTCTCTCGGTTCCATGGGGCACTGGACGCTCCACCACCATTCTGCCCAGGACTTACCAGCAGGATCTGACACTGCCCAGTGGCCCCCTGTGTCCTCAAGAGTCACTGACCATCCCAGGCACACCCGTCTGCTTCACTCCGCTGTCTCGTTCTTGCTCCACCCTCTGTGGATGCAGAGTGGACTTGACCCTGCGACAGCTGTCCCCTCTCCTGTCCATGTCCCTTCTTGTGGCCATCTCTATCCATTAGTCCTTCCTGGCCCTGCGCTGCCCCGATGCACTCATGCCCTGTTCCCATCGCTGCCGCAGCCTCCAGCCAGCCTCTGTCCAGCTGCAGAGCGTCGGCGAGGCAGGTACTACAGGTTCCCTGCTTCCAGGAATCCCCGGGGAGTCAGCAGTGTCTGAGGGTCTGCTGGGGGCCACACACAGGCCTTCCTGTGTGTGGGTGAAAATCAGGGACCACAGCGGCCCTCCCCCACTCTCTGGAACCTGACCTCGTGTGGCCCACACAGCCGCCACCTTTGTTTTGTTTTCATCCCTCACCCATTGATGCTCAGGGCTTCCTCCTGGCTCTGAGCTCGGGATCACAACAGTTGATGCTCAGGGCACTCACGTGTGCAGGGGGTGGGACCGGGGTTGGCGGCGTGCAAGGCAAGTGCCTTCCCTGCTGTAGTCTCTCTGACCACCCTACCCTCCTTTGTAGGTGATGCTTTCAAAAATTATTTTACTGGCCATCTCAGGGTTGCTCCTGGCAGGCTTGGGGAAGTTGGGTCTCTTGCACCAAAGCCTACACCGGTCCCACAAGCTCTCCCTCCTGCCACGTGGCCTCTTCCTCTCCCATCGGACGCCCAGGAAGCGCTTGAGTTGTCTTGACTCACGACCTCATGGACCCTCCTCCTCGGCTGTGGGTCTCCTCAGGAGACCTTCAAGATGCTCGTGCCCTGAGCCGCTGTCCCTGGACCCTGAGCCCTGGTCTCTTCCCTTCCTTGCGCAATGCTCACTGACCCTGCGCGCCCTCTCTGGGGCAGCAGCAGAGACAGCCCTGCCAGCCAGTAGGAGCGTCAGTTCCTGGGGCCTTGGCCTGGGTCTTGTCCCACTTGGGACTGCACCTGTGTCCTGGGCTCTTTCCAGGGTGGCCATGTGTCACTCAGGGCAGACACGCAGGGATGAACAGTCAGGGCTCGGGTGGTGACCAGAGGGTGGTGCCATGAGGGTGGCATGCAGGGCCCCTTCCTAGGCTACTCTGTGCTGGACTCAGACTCGGTGACACTGTGGCCTGAGCAGGACTGAGTGGAGCCCCCTGGCAGCCCCTCGCAGCTTGCAGTCGGCTAAGCTCAAGTGTGGTGGCCTGTGCTGTGTCACCCGTGGCCTTCAGCTGAGAAGGCCGAACTGGGTGCCCCAGGTGGATGGCTGTCACCTGTCCAGGGTGTGCCCCTGAGCAAAGCTGACCTCCGTTTGGGGAGAGAGTGCTGGCTGCCGGGGTGGGGGACGCCTCGGTCCCCTTGGGCTGATGCAGTGCAGGGACATGTCTTCGGAGCCGGGTGCTGCGTGGGTGTGGCGTGGGCCTGGCATGGGTGTTCTGCAGGCGCAGCGTTGGTGTGGACGTGGCATGGCTGTGGCGTGGGCTCTGCGTGGGCACGTGTGTGGTGTGGAGGGGGCCAGGGCAAGGCCAGCGCCGCCGCTGCTGTCCCGAGCCCTTTGCTGGGGCCCCATCCCCGCCCTCTCTGGCCTCACCACCCGCGATTCGAGCACTGGCGCCTGGGGCAGCAGGAGGAAAGGCCGGGACGGGCGTCTGGACATAGGCACCGGGTCAGGGGGTCGGGCCTGGGGGCCCCGGGGAGGGTCCTGGCCCTGTGGCTGGTGTGGGTCACTTTGGCCCTTGCTGTTAGACTCACAAGCTGTGGTTAACACTGGGTGGTGGGCTCTGGGGGGCTGGGCTGGGCCCTGAAGGGTCCAGCCAGAAGTCTGTGCATAAGCTGGAGCTTGGCCTCTGTCTTCAGAATACTCGGTTTTGGATTTTTAAAATCTTACCAGAAATGCCCCAACCTCCACTCGTGCCACCTGTTCCAAGGCAGCCCGGCCCTCCTCCTCCTCCTCGGGAGGACAGAGCTGCTCTGCCCGCATGTGGTGCCCGCCTCTCTCCCGCAGGGGCAGCTCTTGGGCCTGGGTCCAGCTCCTTGTGCCCTGGGCCTGCCGGGCTGCAGTCTCCGCCCTGTGGCCGTCACTGGAACGTGGCTCTCATCCTGCGGAGCTTGTCCTGAATCCTCCTTGAGTGCTTCTCACTGGCCAGCTGGCGCGAGTCGGCCCTGCTGTCGGCCGCCAGCAGGGAGATGTTGACCCCGCTGAAGCGAGCGATCCTCTGCTTGAGGTGGGTCTGCAGCTTGGCATCTGGCGCAAAGGTGTAGGGGTTCTCCTGGAAGGCGCAGACCTGGCTCGCCACCCTGGCGATGTTCCTGCAGGGGGAGTGGGCATCAGCCTGCAGGGCCAGGGCCCCTGAGCGCCTGCAGCGTGCAGACCAGGCTCCCAGTGCAGGGTCCGGAGGGGGGCTGCGGATTCTTGGGGCCACGTCTCCTTCATGACTGTGACTGGTGGTGTGCTGACCCTTCCAGTCACTCTGCCACCCACCATCCACCCACCCATCCATTAAACATCCTCTATCCATCCATTCACCCACCCCAGCCTCCCACCCACCTTCTCATCCACCCGCAAATCCATCCACTCATCCATCCGTCCATTCCTGCATCCTTCCACTCACTTACCCACCCATTCACCTCGCTCCTTTCACTTTCTTTCTTTCTTTCTTTCTTTATTTTCTTTCGCTTTTTAGGTCACACCCAGCGATGCACAGGGGTTACTCCAGGCTCTGCACTCAGGAATTACCCCTGGCAGTTCTTGGGGGAACACATGGGATGCTGGGGATTGAACCTGGGTCGACCACAGGCAAGGCAAACGCCCTCCCGGCTGTGCTATGGTTCCAGCCCCATCCTTCCACTTTCAAGTCCATAAGAGTCTGCTTAAGTGCAGCGTGAGACCCCAGTGCTCAAGAGCTGAGAATTCTGGGATGAAAGGAAACCGAGGGTCAGCTGCCAGGGCTTGTGGGTAGGCCTGGGTCTAGGGGACCGGGCAGTATGAGCAGAGGCTTGTGGGGAATCTTCCCCCGGAGCGCTGAGGGGCTGGTGCACCCCAGGATCCCCGGGGACGTTGGGAACAGGCTGGGAAGTGCACAGACTCTGACACGCTCTTCCCCCCAGTCCTGGAGAACGGGCTGTCCAGAGTGGAGAGGGCCCTGCTCAGGGAAAGGCGGCCGCCCCTCTGTGGCAGTGGCGTGGCATGGTCGGTGCCTCAGCCTGTTCTCCACTGTGTGCCAAGCGTTGTGTGTGTGCCTGCTTGTGCTCGCTGTGTCCGTATGTGCACGTGTGCCTGTGCACATGTGTGCATGTGCAGCAGTGTTTGAACCCAGGCTTCATGTGGGAAGTCACGCACTTTGAGTTCATTTTGCTGATGGGGTTTTTCTCATCGCTTACAATGCAGTGCACTGGAGTGTTTCTGGCCTCAGGGTCTCCCCCAGTGTTTCTCAGGGCTTAACTCTGATTCTGTGCTCAGGGATCTTTGGCGGGGCTCGGGGGAATCCTGTGGGGTTTTGGGATCAAACCTGGTTTAGCCATGTGCAAGGCAAGTGCCCTACCTGCTGCCTGTCTCTAGCCCTGAAAAACCTGTTTTGTGGGGCCGGATTGATACTGTCGCGGGGTGGACGTTTGCCTTGTTCTTGGCCGACCTGGGTTCGATCCCCAGCATCCCTTAGCACTGCCAGGAGTAATTCCTGAGTGCAGAGCTAGGAGAAATCCCTGAGCATCACTGGGTTTGACTCCCCCAAAATAATTGAAAAAACCCAAACCTGTTTTATTTGCTTGCTTTGGGCCATACAGGTGGTTTTTCGGGGGACTGGGCAGTGCTGGGGATCCCACCCAGGCTCCCTGCTGAGCATGTGTCCCAGCCCTGTGAGATGTCTCTCTGGTCCCGGAAAGGCTATTTGAAAAATCACTTTTACTGGAGTCATACGAGGCCTCTTGGCAGAGCATGGCTGGCAGTGTGGGGCCACTGGAGAGCTCCTGGTGGTGCCGGGAGTCCTGGGGCATGGGGTGGCACCCAGCCCGGCGTGAGCTTCACCACCCAAACCATCTCTGCCCACAAGACTAGGTTTTTATGTGCTTTGTTTTGTTTTTGCCTTTGGGTCACATCCAGTGATGCTCCGGGGTTATTCCTGGCTCTGCACTCAGGAATTACTCCTGGCGGTGCTCGGGGACCATATAGAATGTCGGGGATTGAACCCGGGTCGGCCATGTGCAAGGCAGACACCCTACCCGTTGTATTATTACTCTGGCCAGGACTGGTTTTGAGCTGGGCACCAGGAGTCAAAGGCAGTTCTCAGTGGGCAGGCACATACATGCTCTAGGAGTGGCCTCCTCAAGCTCTGAGTCAGGGTGGACTGTCACCACTCAGTGTGGACCCCAAACTCCGAAAACACCCACAAAGCACCTAGAGCAGGTGGAACTGTGGCCCCCAGGTCCCCGAGCTGTGCTGGAGAGCAGAGCTGGGCTATGGGTGACCAGCACCCCTGCCTCTGAGGACCCAGGGGAAGACCAAGGGGGTGCCTGGGAAGTCTGGCCGCACATGGGGCCCTGGGACCACTGGGCCTGGGAAATAGGGTTGTGGAGTGTGGGGAGGGGTGGGGGAGGGGACGGAGAGGTTACCCCTCACCGGGCCTGCTCCACTCTGACCCCTCACATGTCCTGCCTTACCATGACCCCTTCCCTATTCTGCTCCCCTTTTGGGGGGCACATCAGGCGGTGCTCAGAGCTTACCCCTGGCCTGTGCTCAGGGACCACCCTTGGGGACCACATGCGGTGCCAGATGGAGCCTGGGCTGGCCACCTGCAGGGCGAGCATCCTGCCGCCATGCTGGCGCTCTGCCCACCCTGCCCCACCCACCCACCCCGCGCCCCCTCACCTGAGCTTGCTCCACCTGTGGGCCCCATTGGTCATGGTGAAGCCGCCAGTCTCCAGCTGCTGGACGTGCATGGCCAGCAGGCGGGCAGAGGGCAGGGTGGGCTGCGCCCGGCAGCGGCGCCCCTCCATCAGACACAGACTGTCGCTCTTCAGGAAGACCTGGGAGTGTGGAGGGTGGGGACAGGGGCTTGGGTCAGAGCAGGACCAGGCCGGACGCTGACGCCCCTGGCCGCAGGCCACCTCGGTGAGGTGGGGAATGCAGTCCTGCCGCCTGTGGCTCTGACACTTGGGACCCTCCTAGACGTGTGTCCTGCCTGCGTGGCCCCCAGGGTTGGGGTCCGGACAGGCTGCTCTATGGGGTCGGTGTCTGGGCTGGGCTGGGCTGTCGGGGGCCTCACTTAGGGGCCTCACTGCTCCCTCCCCAGCGGGTGGGCTCCTGGGCACCCAGCCTATACAAAGGGGGACGCCCCTCTGCCTCAGCGCGGCCCCGGGGTACTGGCAGCAGGGGCTGACACGCAGGTGGGGGGGGGGGTCTGGGGAGCCCCAGCGTCACCTCCACAGCCTTCAGCTCTTCCAGCACCTCGGCCACCTTTGCAGGCAGAACTCGCCAGGCCTGAAACAGACGCATCCGTGAGACACCACCGCCTTGTGCCATCCCACCTGCGGGATGCAGGGAGCCGGGGACTCACCGGGGACTGCCTCACGGCCACGTGCTCCAGGCCCCGCAGGATCTGCATGGCTGTGGCGAAGTTCCTCTGCTCATAACACGACTTGGCGATCAGGAGGAATTTGGAGAGTAGATTCACCTGCAACTGAACCGGGGCCGTCGTCAGGGCTCCTGTGCCGGCAGAGGCCAGGACAGGGTGGTCCCTGCTGCCTGGGGTTGGGGTTGGCAAGAGGCAGCCCCGTGGGTTCACGCCCACTGGGTTGCCACAGATTCGCACTCCGATTATTCTCATGAGTTGGTACAGTGTACCTGTGTTAGCACACACCAGTAGAGCCGTGGCAGCACACGGGGCGCACCTTTGTTTGACGTGAACCAGCACACAGGGTATTTCTGGGGGCCAGCACGCTGGCGTGTTCTCTGGATTAGCACACTGGGCACCCCTGTGAGTGAACACACTGAGTGTTCCTGTGAATAATCACACGGGGTGCTGCCACGGGTCAGCACACGGGGGCTTATGCTGGATTAGCACACTGGGCACCCCTGAGGATGAGTACACCGAGTACTCCTGTGGATCAGCTTACCAGGTACTCCCATGGATTGGCATATGAGGGACACCCAATTGGCTTTTTTCTTTTTCTTAGGTCTCACCTGACTGTTCAGAGTATACTCTGGCTTTGCACTCAGTGGTCATTCCTGGTGGGGCTTGGGTTGCCCTATTTGGTGCCAGAATTGAATCTGGGCCTGGTGTGTGCAAAGCAAGCTGCCAACCTGCTGTCCTATCTCTCTGGCCCAGTACACCCAGTTTCCTGTGCTCGCATCCTGGCTGAAGAGGAGGGTCATCTGTCAGCAACGCCTGAAAGCCCAGACCTCTCACTGTTGAGATCGATGCATGGGAGTAGGTGCATCTCAGCCTCCCCAGGGGTCAGGGACCCCAGCCTCCCACGGAAGTTGCCCACTCAGGGTGGGAGTGAGTGGGAGTCGAGTTTGCTCGGGGAGCTGCTGCTCAGAAGCCAAGGGTCTGCTGGGGCAGGGGGCACATGGTGCCAGTAGTAGCCCCTGGCATCAGGCCAAGTCACGTGTTCGGGCCACGACCTCCCCCTACTCTCCCTCCCGTGCCCCACTCAGCTGACAGGATGCTCCCAGATGAGGATGCAAGCCAGACTTTGGAGGCTGACAGTGGGACCCTGCAGTGGGCACTGACGTGAGGCAGGAACCTGTCATTCTGGCCCGGACCAGCCAGGGTCCAGGGCTGAGAACAGCTGGAGGTCACCCTTCCTGGCTACATGCCTGTCCTGCGGGGTCACGGCCAGTAGCACTCAGCATGTTCTGTCCTGGCAGGAAAGTCTGTGGGGTCTGAGGGGAGCGAGCCCAGGCCCCGAGCCAGTGTGTGTGTGTGTGTGTGTGTGTGTGTGTGTGTGGCGGGGGGGGGGGATTGAGGGGAGTGAGCCCAGGGCGCGCATTCAGTGCCTGGCTGCATGTGCCCATGAGGAACCAGGTCGGCACACACGTGCCGGCTTGGTGCACACGCACTGCAGTCCCTGTGTACACACAAGTTGATACCTCCATGTCTTTCCATGTGTGACAGCTCTGTATCTGAGCACGTGTGTGAAAGCCCCATCACTTCACTCACGAGTGACGCCTGCCAGCACACATATGAAGAAGGCTCTGTGTGCACATCTGTGAAGCCCACCTGTGTCTGAAGGAACTGTGAACACCCATGAAACCTCTCTGCATGCATGTGAAGGCTGCGAAAGCACATGCGAAGCCAACTGCATGTGTGTGAGGGCTTCGTGTGCACATGTGTGAAGCTGCCTGCATGTGTGTGAGGGCTCCGTGTGCACATATGTGAAGCTGCTTGCATACGTAACCTCCATGTGCACATGTGTGAAGCTGCCTACATGTGTGTGACGGCTCCATGTGCGCACACATGCTCACAAGCTTCACGGGGTTTGCCACCAGCTGTCCAGTGCATGTCTCCCCAGTGAGTGTGGGACAGGCTTTTCTGATGAGCTGCAGGGGTGTCTTGACGTCACTGATGGCAGAAGCTGGGGTGTGGCTGGCCCTTGGCTGCAGGTGGGCCTCAGGACTGCGATGAGGGGGTCGCTTGCTTGGCCAGTGGAGGTGCCCACCTTGGAACCGTGGCAGGTGACAATCTCTGCGGCCACCCAGGTGCTGACATCATCCCCGTGTCTCAGAAGCTGGAGCAGGAAGGGGTCCTGGGTGCAGTCAGGCAGGAACAGGCTGCAGGCCCTGGCCGACACACACTCGGAGCTGCTGGCCCTGCAAGGGGCCCGGCTCAGCACACTGGCCACAGCGGCTGCCCTTCTCTGCCTCCCAGAGGTGATGCCCGGCCCCAGAACTCACCGGGGCAGGGCCGTGCTCATGTCCGTGACGCCTAGGGACCGGGAGTTGAGGAAGTGGACAGGGTGGCACTTCTGGAACAGCTCCTGCCGGCAACCACGCCCAGTGCCTGAGCCCCACAGACTTGCAACAGGCAGCCCTGGGCTGGGGTCGCCCCTGCCTTCTGGACTCCCCACCTCTGCAGCCAGGCGCCACGGGACCAGCATGGGGGAGGCCTGCGTACGACCCCGCGCCTGCTCATCAGGGTCTGTGCGGGCTTCCCCCTCGGGCCCCGTCCACCTACCTCCTGCAGCAGCGTCAGCTGGCTGGAGAGCTGGGAGGTGCCGTACTCGGTCAGGAAGAAGGATCCCTTTTCGCTGGTTGCAGTGCAGGGCCCGTAGAGTCCCTCGAAGACACAGGGCTTGGGCAGGGCGGACGCAATGCTGTACTGCCGCTCTCTGTGAGGCGCGGCCAGGCCGCTGCCCCTGGACAGCCGCCAGGGGAAGTTCTGCGGGCAGCCAGGTTCCACTGAGGGCCTGTCCTGCCTCGCAGCCGGTTGCTAAGTGAGCACAGAGACTCCACCCCCTGGCTGTGCGGGCTCCCGAGCGCGGGGCACATCTGGTTCCCTCCTCAGGGCAGCTGAGTCTGGGAGCACACACACTGGACAGGGCCTTGGCTCCTGCCCCTTCCACCAGGACCTGGCTGGGCAGGGAGTGCATGTGTGCCTGCACTTTTGTCTTCACACACACACACAGGTGTGTGGGGGGCATGTGCACAGGACAGGGCACCTGAGCACACGGGCACGTGTGTGCCTCTGTGTGTCCCTGCGTGTGCACACGTGAGGCTGTGTGCCCGCTTCTGTGTGTACCCGAGTGTGTCCCCACATGCCGGGCTGGGGGAGCTGTTCTGTCTGTCTGGGGGTGCCCCACCCTGCCAAGGCCTTCACCTTCCGGGAGATGCTGTCCTCGGAGAGCCTCTTACAGAGGGCGTTGAGGGGCCCGGCGTCCTCCTCAGCCTCCTTCGGGTCCTCCGTGTCAGTGCTGCGTGGGGGCCCCTCTGCCCGCTGGTCTGCGCCCACTTCCAACAGTCCCAGCAAGTGCTCCACGGAGCCGTCCCGGGGCAGAATCTGGACAAAGGCCAGGAGGTCGCTGGTGCCCAGCTGGCAGGGTGGGTTGTCCGGTTGGCCTGGTCCCACTTCCACAGAATCTGCTCGCAGCCGGGTCCGGTCCTAGCCCCGCCCCTGCCCTCGGGCCACGCCCCACCAGGTCTCCTCCACGGCCCCGCCCCTCTTCCGCCCCGCCCACTCGCGGAGCCCCGCCCTCGGTCCCGCCCACGCTCCACCCACGGCAACCGCGACCTTGGAGGCGAAGTCGTGCAGCCGCGCCCGCAGCTCTGCGTTCCTGGCGAAGTCCACTGCGTAGCAGTCCTCCACCCAGGCGTGCAGAAGGCAGATGCTCCGCCTGTAGATCTTGGTGAAGGTGGAGGTGGGGTCCTGGAGGGCCCTGGAGGCAGGCGTGGGGGCTCCCTGAGGGGCTTCCGTGAGCTCCCGCTGAGCGCTGTTGGCAGGTGGGTGTGGGGCCGCCCCCACTGGCGGACCCCGCCTCCCGGCTCCCCTCCCAGCCCCCTGGGTGGCATCAGCTGGTTCTGCATCGAGCTGGCCGGGCCCTGGGCGTACCCCGAGAGGGTGCTGCTGATGCGCTCCAGCAGGAACTGCAGAAAGTCCTGCGGCGAGCAGAAGTAGCGGAAGGTGTAGAGGAACTGCTGCACGTAGCCCTCCAGGAAGGCGTCGCTGCGGTACAGGTGAGGCGAGGCTCAGGTTGCTGCCTCTGGGGAGAGCCTGGGCGGGTTTCCTACGTGGGGGCTCCAGTGCGGGGTCTGGAGGCTTCAGCACATGCTGTGACCCCACCCGGTGTTGGGGAAAGCTTGCCCCACCCCAGATTCTGTTTCAGTCCTGCCAATCACCCGAAAGTCAGGGGTCCTCAGGACGCCCCAGTTTGGACACCACATCAGTGTGTGGCAGAGAGGGCAAGGCCTGTGTGTTGGTAGTCCTGAGGTCAGGAGTCCCCCGAAACTCTGGGCAGGGTTCCAGGGTGAAGACACTGTGATGAGGCATGAGGGCACGTGGTGGCTGGGTCCACCCGGACCTGCTGACACAGTGCACATGCATGTGCACACACATGCACAGTTGTACACAAGCACACACCTTCCAGTGCACATACCATGACTCACGTACGTGCATCACACACATTACACAGATACACACCCCACATTCGTACTGCATCATACTACACACCTACTATTATTTATTATTTCTTGGCCGACCCGAGTTCGATTCCTCCGCCCCTCTCGGAGAGCCTGGCAAGCTACCAAGAGTATCTTGCCCGCGCGGCAAAGCCTGGCAAGCTCCCCGTGATGTATTCGATATGCCGAACACAGTAACGACAAGTCTCAAGATGGAGACGTTACTGGACCCGCTCGAGCAAATCCATGAACAACGGGAGGACAGTGACAGTGACAGTGATTATATTTACATGCACTGTAAATATAAAGACATACATGTTATGCACACATGCCATACTGCCACACACACAACTTATTACACATTGCACTACATAAACCACACACACATATATGCCACACATTAAACAGCACACAAAGCATACTGCAGCCACACATGTCATGTAACATATGTGTCATACATCACACCATACATGACCTACAATAGATAGGACACAATGGGAACACAACACACAGTGCAGGATTTTCATTAGACCCTACACACGCACCACATGCTACATGCTGCCCTGCACTGCACATCACATGCCACACACGCCCCCTGTCACACACGGTGCCTGGGACTCACAGCACACCTGTGCGTGACAGCACACGCCCATCGCGCACGCACACGCCCGATGGGAGGGAGGGGCGCACAGCCTGGCTGAGCAGGAGGCAGCCAAGGAGACCTGGGTCTGGGGGCCTGGGTGTGTGCCCAGCAGGACCCCCCAGCTCTGGAGCAGCCCCTGGGGGCGGGGGGCCCTGAGAGCTGCCCCAAGCTCCCCGGAGGAAAGGCGGGGTGCAGGGAGCCTGCTGTGGGCAAGCATGCACCCCATTCACCAGTGGTCAGTGACCCCCGCTGCTGCGTCCAGACATGGCCAGTGGCCTGGAGTCTCAGCCCAGAGGCAGGTGGAGGTGCAGGGAAGGTCCCTGCGGCCAGGAGGGGGCGCCCCCTTCACTGCTGGGGGTTCTGGGTTTCCCTTGGTTCACCAGGACTCGGGCAAGGGGCGCTGGGCACCTGGAGTAGAGGAAGGCCATGAGGCCCAGCGGCGTCCCTGCCTGCAGGGCACGGGCCTTGCGTGGCCGGCCTCCGCGCGGGTGCTTGGTGACGTTGTAGAAGATGAGGGACGAGGACTCATCCAGGGGGCTGAAGTCCAGGGAGTCACAGGGGGCCGAGGAGATGGTGACGATCACGGGCAGTGTGCATGGCTCCAGGCCCCAGCGCTCAGCGTGCATCACCTGGGGGACAGCCGGTCAGCGGCCAGCAGGGTGCCTGTGGGGAGCCAGGGGCGGGGCTCCAGGCCAAGCCCGAGCTGGGGGGTGAAGGTGGGTGAAGGTCCACTTGCCTGCAGGTACCTCTGGACCAGCCTGAGGAAGTGCACCCTGGACCTCATGCCCTCCAGCTGCCCCTTGAGCTTGGCCAGCATCGTCTTCACCTCGGAGCCTGGGTAGATGGTGGGCGCTGAGCTGGGGAGGGCGCGTGGCCCAGCCGCGCCCCCCACACAGCCTACCTCTGCCTCGCTTCTCTTTCTGCAACAGCTTCTGGTAGAACCTGAGAGTCTTGCGGAAGTTTCTCTGCTCCATCAGGAGCTGCTGCTCCACTTCCTGGGGAAAGAACCGGGAGCGTCAGGTGGGCACCGACAGTGGTATGCGGGGAGCATGGGGCACAGTGGGGATGGACACGGGGCACACGGGGATACAGCATGGGGGACACAGGGCACATGGAGGCCAGAAACAGGGACAGACAAGGGGAACAGACATGGGGTCTCCCTCCTAGGTAGCTGGGGGTTGGCCCACAGGGCACCTCGGCCCTCGTGGTGGAGCCCTCAGGAGGGGACAGGGCGTGGTTCTTCTTCTGAGGAACCCCCGGCTTTCCCATGGTGCCTGTGCCCCGGGTCCTGCAGTCCGCGGGATCCCCACGACCGGTGAGGAGGTGCGGCGGGCGCAGTGCTCGGCATCTGGCATGCTTGCCGGTGTCCTGAGTCTGCTGGGGCTAACACAGCCCGTACCCAGGTGCCTGGACCAGAGTCCCGGCAGCAGGCCAGGGGCGGGGCCTCTCGCGACCACGCCCAGGACAGGGTCCTGTGACCACGCCCGGGGGCGGGGCCTCCCGTAACCACGCCCAGAGGCTGGCTCTCCCAGGACCACGCCCAGGGGCGGGCCCTCCTGCAACCACGCCCAGGGGCTGGCTCTCCCGTGACCACGCCCAGGGGCGGGCCCTCCCACGACCACGCCCAGGGGCGGGCCCTCCCGCAACCACGTCCAGGGGCTGGCTCTCCCGTGACCACGCCCAGGGGCGGGCCCTCCCGCGACCACGCCCAAGGGCGGGCCTGCTGACTTACGGCCACGCCCAGGGCGGGGCCTGCCAGCCCCTGAGCTCCTTCTCTTTCCGCATTTGGCCTCTGCTGCCTGAGAGGTGCTGAGCTTGGTGTGGGTCAGTGCGCTGTTTCCCCGGACCGTGCCTGGGATGGAAACGGGCCTCCTGCCCGCAATGCCCATGCTTCCGCCCTGACCGCCCCCTGAGACTGCTGCGCCTCACCCGGAGGTGCTCTGGGCGGTACCTGGCAGGGCTCAGGGCTGCTGACCCGGCTTCCCGCTGGGCTGTCTCTCTGGCCCCCGTTCCCCGCAGGGCTCTTCTGACCGTTCGGAATTCTGTGGGCTTTTGTGTGGGTTCCCTCGTTCTGCGGAACCACCCAGGGCTGCTGCCTGCCAGCTCTCAGAGCGGGAACTCAACCGTCATTGCGGGTTCGGGGGCCCCAGCCCAGCCACCGTGACTGCCGGTGCCCAGCCTGAACGCTTGCGTCATTTCTTTCCTTCCCACCCTGCGGGAGCTCTGGGCTCCCTTCTTCCCTTTTGTGTCCTCTCTGCCTGGGCTGCACGAGGACCTGGCTGGGGTGGCCAGTGCCAGCTGTGATGCCCCTTCAGCTTTGTGCTGGCACTGTGGTTGCGGTCTGGTTAGCCGAGACCGTGTGCTGGCGGTGGTGCTCGGGGTCCTGTGCGCAAGGGGGACGCTCCACCCGGCTGCTCCGTGGCTGGAGACAGCGAGGGCGCAGGGGCCACCCGTGACTCTGACTTGTGACTGTGTTTGCCAGGCGGTGCCCAGGCACCTGTGCTATTCCCAGCCCCAGACACTGGTGGGAACCAGGAAGAGCCTTTCCTCCAGCGGGCCCTTGACGGGGGGCATCTGTGGCTACCTGCAGGGCCTCAGCCACTCAGCACAGACCAGAACGATCGACACTGCTCGGTGCCCCGTCAGGTGCTCTGGGCCGCTGCCCTCCAGACGGGCTGCTGTGCTCGCTTCCTGGCTGCACTTGGCTCTGCACCCTGGGGGGTCCCCCAGTCGGGCGCCTGGCCCAGCAGGGCTCAGAGGGTCCCACGCACCCCTGTCCCTGTGAGGTCCGAGGCAGTGGGGATGGGGAAGGGAGCTCCCAGGCAGAGGTCAGACTGCCGCTGCCCCTCCTTTCGTGGGGCTGGGGACTGTGCCTGCTGCCCCCTGAAAGGGCTGGACTGTTTGGGGGTCCTGCTTATTGGGCCTCATAGTCCCTCCCAGCACAAGGTGTCCGGAGATGCCCCAGGAAGGGGCCTGCTCCCCCAGTCCCTCACCTGAGACGACCCCCCCCCGAGCCCCATCTCAGGACTTGGCTGGTGCTGGGCCTCCTTCCCACTGGCGGCTGAGCAGAAGGGCCAAGCTGGACAGCTGCAGGAGGTGAGGGCAGGCCAGGTGGAGTGAAGTGGGGACCCTGTGGCCTGGAGACGGGAGTGAAATGGCCAGTGCCTGGGATCCGGGGTTGTGTGGGGTCGTGCAGTCCAGGCAGGCCGTGGCCCCTGGGACCGGGGCCCGGAAAGCTTGCTTCCACATCATTTCACCAGCGACAGTGTCACTGTGGGGTTTCTCAGGGAGAGGAACCTACTGTCCTGGGCTTGTTGCATTGCTGCGTGGACAGTGTGGACACCGCCCTTTTCCACCATGGACGCTGAGGCAGGCCCCAGGGGTAGCCAGACCCGCTTGGGTCTCAGGGCCAGGAAGCTGGCACCAACAGGAGACCTTGTGCCCTTGAGAGGATGGCAGCCAACCGGAGCTGGGTCCACTCACCAGCGCCACCCCCCAGGCGGGCACACACGTGACCTGTCCCGACATGTGTCTGTGCTCCTAGTGCTGCTGGCCCTCCAGGTCCTCTCAAGCACCCCTTTGCTGGAGCTCATGCTGCCTTGTGTAGCCCAGTGGCCCAGTGGACAGCAGACCTCGGGCTGTCTGGGGACCCACCTGGACAGCTCACTGCCCGCAGAAAGACCATGCAGGGCCCTGAATTCTTCCTGACCTCAAGGCAGTTACCTGGGAGTGGGTGAGCTGATGGCCTAGGGGCTACACTTGCCCCCACAGGCAAGTCTGGCCTGACTAGTGGCCAGGATGAGCTGACCTCCTCCACTGTGACTCGGAAACATGCCCAGCTGACCAGCACACTGTCCCCTGGCCCCCCATGCAGACACTGTGTACAGGGGAGCAGACAGCCTCTGGGAGGGGTGCAGGGGTGTGCCCAGGGGCCACTCCTGGCCTCTCTCCTTGGCTGGCCCGAGCTGCTGCCCACAGGTTCTGGCAGGCGTAGCAGGGCACTCACCGGGTTGTGGGCGCTGGTGTCGAGGGACCCGCTGGCCTTCTGCTGGCACAGCTCTTCCGCGTAGCTGGACACATCGGCACCAAAGCAGTCGGCCTCATAGAAGGCGCTGCGCCAGCCGGGGCAGCAGCTGCGGGACTCAGCCGGGCCGCCCACCTCGGGCCCAGAGACGGCCTCTGCTGGTGTGTCCACTGCTGTGCTGGTCCAGCTCTGCGCCGGCTCGCCCGCCACCACAGGCGGCGGCTCCCGCCCAGCCTTCACCGATCTCTGAGGCCGGAACCCCACCTCCAGGTTCCCCTGGGACAGCTCGTCCGAGTTGGCGTGGGCCAGGGGCCCAGGGGCCCGGGGGCCGGCGGCATGGCTCTCCTTTCCTGGACACGGGGCCGTGGGAGGGTTGGTGGGCGCTGCGGAGCCCATGGCAGGGCCCGCTCGAGGCCAGTGTGGACGTGGGGTAGCTGGGAAGGTGGAGCCCTGCGTGCATGGGGGCGGGGCTGGGCTCCCCGCCAGCCCTGCCCCCGTCTGTGTCATGAGGGGCCACGGCCTCGGGTTGACGCGACAGAGGTCATGGGGACTGACCTCCAGGCTTATTATTTTACGGACCGATCTGGCTTCGGGCCACACTTCGCGCTGGGGTTGGTTCCTGGGGCTGCACAGTTCAGGAAGGAGGAGCCCGGCAGCTCAGGACACCCCCCACCCAGGGGCAGCGCGTCTCCGCACTCAGGGGCACCTTCAGGAGAGTCCGCCCAGCCCCCCGTGCCCCCTCACCTGCTCTGTGCAGGGGGCCGTGTCTGTGGCCTGGGGAGCCTCGGAGCAGGTGCACGCAGCTGCTGTCCTTGTCCCGCGGCTGGGAGGGAGCCTGCTCTGCAGCCCTGTCGTCAGAAGGGGGCGCTCCAGCTCGCTGCTTTCCAGGGGCCACTGCAGCGGCTTCTGCTGCCTGCGGTGGGCACTGCAGCTCCCCTTCAGTGCAAGGAGCACTGCAGCGCCCCCTGCTGTTCTCGGTGGGCACTGCAGCTCCCCCTCCAGTCCGAGGGGCTACAGCCGCGCCCCCTGCTGTCCGTGGTGGGCACTGCAGCTCGCCCTCCAGTCCAAGGAGCATTGCAGCTCCCCCTGCTGCCCGCGGTGGGCACTGCAGCTCCCTGTACAGTCCGAGGGGCTACTGCAGCTCCCCCTGCTGTCTGCGGTGGGCACTGCAGGCCCCATTCCCTCCCAACATGTGCACCCTTCTTGGGGCTTTGCCTCTACTTCTCTTCTCAGCCCTGGGCTCCTTGATGTAGCCAGTGTGGGAGCCCCAGGTTTACTCCTGAGTTGAACCACAGAGTGGGGGCTGGATCTCCTGGCCCAAGGCCCTAGCCTGGCTGCTGCCCCCTAGCTCCTTGGCACCCAGATGGGGAGCCACGGTGCGGTGTAGGTGGCTGTCCAGGATTCCTAGCTACTGTGTGGCAGGCAGGGAGCCCCTTCTGGGTCAGGGGTGACCCGCCTTGATCCTGACTGTGCTGGGTGTGCAGCCCTGCAGTCACCCATCCACATGAAGGGGTGTACCACCCAGCTCAGACCTGCGGGCTCCTGTCACTCAGCCCCTGATCCCTGTGACCTGCCCCTCTTCCTTCTCTGGGAGCTGAGCTGCTGGGATGGGGGCACTCACCCTAGGGAAGTCGGCTGTGGTCCGTTCACCACTGAGAAGAGACCACGTAGCAGCTTGTCCCCCCAGTACAGGTCACAGAACTTCTCAGAGACAGCCCCGCAGAAGGTGGGGTACGTGAGGTCCTTCAGGCCCTGGATGTACTCCCCTGGGGCACAGCAGGACTGGCATGTGATTGGTGTTGGGAGCCAGGAGAGGTGAGGGGCCCCTGCACTCCCCTGGTCTCGGGCATTCAGGGTGGAGTGGTCCTTGGGGTGGTGGCCCTGAGTCCCTTTCCCCCGGTCTGCCAGGTGTGGGGGCCCCACCCCAGGGGTGCATACCCATGATCAGAGCCTCCAGCCCGTTGTCCAGGTAGCCGTCGAAGGCAAACTCGTCCTGGATGAGACGCATGGCCTCCTGCAGTGCCGGGCAGGCTGGCCCTGTGGGGGCGTCCACGCTGGACAAACAAAACTTGCACTCCGGGGCCTGCTCCTTGACACGGGTGCCCCTGGGGCTGCCAGGGCTCACTGCAGCCCTGGGGGTGTCCTGGAGGGGGAATGAGGCGTCCCTGTCCTCCTGGCTGGGCTTCTCAGTGGTCCTGTTTCTGGGCATCTTGGCCACCAGCTGGCAGGGGCTGAGACTCAGGTCTTCAGGTGAGGGCCCGGGGGGCTCCTGCCCCTCTGGCCCTTGATGCGGGGGCTCATTGGGGGGTGGGCTGGGTGGAGGAGAGCCAGACACCCCCGGTGAGGCTGCCTCCTCCAAGGTCGGTGCTGGGCAAGGCAACGGGGGACACCCCTGGGCCAGTCCCCTTGGCTCCGGCTCTTGGTGCGGTTCTGGTCCTGGGTCCGGTGCTGGCTGCTCAGGGGTCCTCAGGCTGACGACCACCCCATGGGCCACAAGACTCTGCTGCCCTTCATCCTTCCTGTCCAGGGAGCCTCTCTTCTCTGGACTTTGGGCTGGCTCGTCGCTGCAGGAAGAGTACAGCTCCAGAGTGGGGCAGAGACCCCGTGAGGGGAGGAGAGCACTCACCCGGGCACTTCTGTGCTGGGAGGGGAGCACTCACCCAGGCACCCCTGTGCTGGGGGAAGCACTCACCCGGGCACCCCTGTGCTGGGGGAAGCACTCACCCGGGCACCCCTGTGCTGGGAGGGGAGCACTCACCCGGGCACCCCTGTGCTGGGAGGGGAGCACTCACCCGGGCACCCCTGTGCTGGGCGGGGAGCACTCACCCGGACATGCCTGTATCCGCAAGGAGCACAATGGGCTTGAAGTGTGTGGCAGCCGAGGTGAACTCCACCGGCAGCTCTGAGGCCCCTGGGCTGGGCACAGGGCCCTGCTTGGGGACAAGCCCAGTGTCCCCCCTGAGCTGAGTAAAGCCTGGAAGGGGATGGGGTGGGGTGGGACTCAGCGGCTTTTCCAGTGGGGTGCCGTATCCCCTCCCGCATTCCCATTCATCAGCGAGGCGAGTAGGGAGCCTGATGGGTCTGGGTGGGGGTCCCGGATGGCACCTGGTGGGAGACGGGTGGGCAGAGGCTGCAGTCTGGGAAGGGGGCGAATCTGGAGCTGCTTGCTGGGTCGGGGTGGGAGAGAGCAACCGCGTGGGGTTGGAAGCCAAGGGCCGGGGCCTGGGGATGGGGGCCGGGCGGGGTGGTGGGGCCCACCAGAGCCAGGGTGAGATGCCGGCGCCGTGCAGGGGCTCAGGTCCACCACTGAGAGGGTGTTCTGGAGCCTGACGGTCTCTTCCTTCTGGTCAGCCTGGGGCAGGATAGATCCCAATCAGGAGGTGGGGATGAGGGAGAGGCCACAGCAGCTGGGAACCCTCAGGGCACTTTGCCTTTCCACAAAGGGTTGGTGGGCACGGGGGTCCCCAAAGCTCAACCTCCCTACAGCTGGCTGGGACCCGAATGCCCCGATGTGGCCTCTCTGACCAGCTGCTGCCCTCTCCCCTGCATGCCCAGCCCGGCTGGGTGAGAGGCTGTGACCGTGGGCAACCCCTTGGTGTGGGCAGTGGGGCAGGCCCGGGGTCCCTCCAGGAAGTGGCGTGCGGGCGCAGCCTCTTGCCACTGCCTCCTCTCTGCCTGATTCCAAGCCCACAACCTCCCCCCCCCGCGCCCCCACCTCACCTTACAGGCGGAAGCCTGCAGGCGGGCCAGGATGTCCCTGCCGTCCAGGCCCCGCTGGAGCAGGTAAGCCCCGCAGATCTGCAAAGGAGGACACGCTGGTCCGCACACACCCAACTCTCGCTCTCCCTTTGTTGGCAAAGGACCCACAGCCGCCCTGTGATGCTTCCAGTGTCCTCCCGGCATCTCAGCAGTGACAAAGGGACAGGGAGGCCACATCCTGCCCCTCCCTCCTAGCCCACAGCCCCCCCCCCCGCCGAGGCTCTGAGTTCAGGGGCACAGCAGAAATGTTTTCATCTTCTGATCATCTCTTAAAATCCACAAGAACCAGAAACTTGCCACCTTCACAAGAGCCCAGAATGGAGCCAGCACCGAGTCACACAGCCCTCACTGAGCACTGACACGCAAGCAACCTGTCACTCGCACTGGGCAGACACGACCACATACAGGCACACTGTGCCACCACACACTCACATCTGTGTGCAGTCACAGTGGCAGCCATGTCACCCCACACTAATGTGCAGAAACCATCACACTCACACAGGTCACGTGCGTGGTCACACACAGGTCATGTGTGCGGTCACACAAGATCACGTGTGCGGTCACACACAGGTCACGTGTGCTGTCTCTCCTGCACCAGAGCACACACTGCCACACTCACCCTTGTACACACACACATACTGAGAACTTCAGAAGTCGTGACCTAAAACCAGACAAGAGAAAATGGGAGCGGGGGGTCCGCTCCTTGCCCAGAGTGAGGACCCACTTCTGGCCAGGGGCCCCAAGGACACAGTCAGGACCCAGCAGGCTGAGCTTGGTCCCTGAGCTCTGCTAGGTGAACTTCTGTCTGAGGCAGGGCTAGTGGCACATTTTTCCCCTCTTTTTTTGGGTCCACCTGGCAATGCTCAGGGGCTCCTCCTGGCTCAGCACTCAGGAATTACCTCTGGCGGTGTTTTCGGGGACCCCATCGGATGCTGGGGATCGAACCCGGGTCAGCCGCATGCAAGGCAAACACCCTCCCTGCTGTACTATCGCTCCAGCCCTCCAGTGGTGCTTTGGGGGAGAGGAGACACCCCTCCTTTAGCTACGTGGTGAGGTCACACGAGAAGGCAGGGGGACCCCACCCAGACCCACTGGGCCCTGGACCACCGGCCCTTGGGGCTGCCCTTCCTACCCTCACCCTGACACCGGGAGAGGCCCAGGGGCCTGTGCAGCTCCTCAGGAAGACAGCATGCCCGATGCCCATCCTGCAGTGCAGAGGCCACCCGAGATGCACAGCAAACCCGGCTCGGTCTTCCCCAAGGCCACTGAGGCTGCGGCTGGGCAGGTGGTCGCACACTCGGGGTCTGAGTCCCAGGCCCGTCTCGTGCCAGACTCACCACCCCCACTTGTCAGCCCTCCTGAGGGGCCAGAACCCAGACCATTCCTCAGCTGTGCCCCTGGACTTGGAGATCCAGCTGGGGACAGTGGGTTGGAGGTGGGTGGTACTTTCTGGCCCCCTCTGCAGGGCACGCCCCTGCAGCTGGTTACCTGGACGGCCTCGGCTGCAGACGGCCGCTCCTGGGCGCTGCGTCTCGCCATGTCCAGGAGAAGTGTCTTGAGCCGGCATGGCAGGGCCAGCTTGTGGTCTCGGGGCACGCTGAACTTGGCTGCTGCCCACAGCACTGCAGCCACGCAGTACACCGAGGCCTGTGCGGAGGAGAGAGGCCACCATACCCACTGGGCCTGCCTTGGCCCCAGGCCCCAGGAGACAACAGGACAGTCCCCATCTCTCCTGTTGGACTTCCGGGACACGCAGCGCTTAACTTCTGGTCTGGGGCCACACCTGCGTGCTCAGGGCTCACTCCTAGTGGTGCTCGGGGATCTACACGTGGTGCCGGGGATTGAATTGTGCTGGCTGCATGCAGGGCAACCCTCCTGCCCCACAGTGTTTGGCACTGGCCTGGGAACACACTCGCAGAGATCTGCGCGCCCGGCCTCAGGCACGGTCCCCGCAGAACTGCCTCTGGACTTCCACAGGATGGTGCTGTCCCGTGGCCGCTGAAGCGTCCAGCCACGGGACAGACAGCGGCCCGGGTCACAGCTCCCCAGCACACCCAGCGCACGTTCTCACTCCACATAAAGCTCCTGGGCGCGCAGGATGGCGTGCACGGGCTCGTGCTGCACACAGAGCTGATGGGCACCTCTGTGTCCACTGGCTCTTGTCCTGGTGCCCATGCTGAGCAGATATGGCCATCTGCGTGCCATGGGAGTGCCCATGGGATTGTTCCTGAGAGTGTGACGGGAGAGTCCATAGCAGTGTCTGGAGTGCCCGCGGGAGTGTGGCAAAGGGCCCCCGTGGCCCCTAGGGCCTCTGTTCTCTCCTCTGTGGGCCCTGAGAAGGGAGCGCACTGGCCGTCCCCACGTCACCCGGGCTGACACAGGCAGGGTGCTGCCCCCGCCCCGCTGACCGGAGAGCTCCCACACTGCAGCCCACCAGTGCGGACGCTGCACTGGGAGCGGCAGGCCTAGAGCTCACGCTCTGCCTGGGGGTGCGCGAGGAGCCTCGGCCCTTCCCTCCTCTGTGAGACCCCCTTCCTGGTGGCCCTCTCAGCTGCTGAGGGCGGCGGGGAGGGCGCGCCCGTCCGTCTCTGGAGTTGGTGCTCCTTTCAGAGCTGTGTGGCAGTGGCGGTTCGGCCAAGGCCCGGCTCTTGGGGCCTCACGGCGCCCTGACCACACACAGGCCTCCACCTCTGGGGGCGCCAGCTGCCTTCTCCTCTGGAAGGTCACAGCAGGCTCCACCCCGAGGGGAGCCAGGGGCCCAGGCTCCATTCCCAGACTGTCCCTGACCTCTAGGACTCCCTGACCAGTGCAGGGGGCCCCTCTGACCTGGGGAAACCCCACTTTCTCCCCCACACCGTGGTGCTCCTGTGGGCTTTGGGTCCAGGTTCTTTTTTTTGCTCTTTGGGCCACACTCAGCAGTGCTAAGGGCTGACTCTGGCTCCGTGCTCAGGGGTCACTCCCGCTGGGGTCTCAGCCACCCCATCTCTCTGCCCCCCAGTCCTAGTCTTTGCTGACATTCCAGGACCCCATCTTCCTTAGTGGAGAAGCATCTGTGACCTTCCTTAGGGCCCCGTCCAGGGAGCTTTCCCGCCTGTCCTGGGGCCTGTCTGTGAGGCACCAGCGGTCAGTAGTCTCAGCACACAAATCTGCACCTTTAGTTAATTCACATCCATTTCCCCCCTTCTGGTTGTAGACACTGTAGCACTGTCCTCCCATTGTTCATCGATTTGGTGGAGGGGCCCAGTAACGTCTCCATTGTGAGATCTGTTACTGTGTTTGGCATATCGAATACATCAATACTCTCGGTAGCTTGCCAGGCTCTCTGAGAGGGGCAGAGAGGAATCAAACCCGGGTTGGCCAGGCCACACGAGTACAAGGCAAACGCCCTTGAGCTGTGCTATGGCTCCAGCCCACTGTAGACACATTGTATTTAAATTACAGTGCTCACTTATCCCTTACAGAGAAAGAAATGGAATTGATTTTGGATACTTTCTTTCTCTTTTCCTTCCTTTTTTTGTTTTTGGCCATCCCGAAAGGTGCTCAGCGCTTACTCCTGACTACCCTCAGGGATCACTCACCTGGCTTGGGGGAACCACAAGGGATGCCTGGGTAGAACCCAGAATGGCCACAGACCAGGCAAGCACCCTGCCCACTGTCTTATCTCTCTGGCCCCGGGTGCCTTTTCCTACATTCTGCTGCCTTCCCCAGTGCGTACATTCTAAGATTTGGGATAAGATCTCAAGGTTCTCGGCAGACAGGCCACAGGCTCTGCTCTCCTGCCTGCCTGCGTCTCCTCTCGTGCTGAGGCAGCCCCGTGCCAGCCAGAGCCTCCCCTGCCTCCTGGGGTTGCCTTCAACTCTTTCAATTTTCCTTATTTTCATTTTTTGGTGTTTGGTTTGGGGGCCACACCTGGTGGTGCTTGGGGGCTCGTCCTGGCTCTGTGCTCAGGGATCACTCCTGGCCCACGTGGCTCCTGGGGTTTTATGTGGTTCCTGGGCGGGAACGAGGTTGGCTGGTGCCAGGGGGTGTCTTAACAGCTGTACTCTCTGGCCTGCAGGGGAATCTCCAAGGGTGGTTCTTTGACATGGACCTTCCCAAAACTCTACCTGCGTTCCCTGGGATCTTCCATGTCCCTGTGTCCCAAGAAGTGCCTGATACTGCCTCGGGGGGGGGGGGGGGGTCACACTTATCCCTTTCCCACCCATCAGGCTGAGTGGGGAAGGTACCCTGGAGGAGGGGAAGGACCGTGGGGCTGAGCGGAGGGGGGAGGCCTCTGGGAAGAAAGTGCTGTTACCTTCTCTGTCACCAGCCTCTGTTCTGTCACCTCAGGCGCCAGGAAGAAGGTGTCGTGAGCACCTAGGAGAGAGTCCAGCCCTGCGTGAGCCCCGTGGCTGGCAGGACGCTGGTCCAACCGAGGCAAGCGGTGCGTACCATTGTCAGGGCCCGGCCCGAGCAGCACAGCCCCGTCCTCAGCCAGCAGCACCGAGTCCAGGCAGAGGCGAGCTGCAAGAGAGGGTCAGCGCCAGCCGCGGGCCCACTCCTGGACACGCAGGCTGGAGGGGCGGGTGCGGGGCAGGGCCAGGGCAGGGCAGGCACCTGGGTGCTGCCGGAGAGTCCGCAGGGCGCTGAGGCAGGCGTGGGACAGGGCCCACAGCTCGTGCTCCCGGAAGGGCCGGCCCAGCGAGGACAGGACGAAGCGCAGGGACACTCCCTGGGGGAGAAAGCAGGTCAGGAGGCCACTCTGGGAAGGCCAGTGCCCCGCAAGGGCCCTCCTGCGAGGAAACCTGAGCCCAGACAGGTGACTCGGCCAGTAAATCAGGATTAGGTGCCCGAGGACTCCGGGGCAGGCCCGGGCGGGGCACAGGCCCAGAGGCAGAACCAGCTGGTGCCGAGAGCCAGAGCCCTGAGAAGCGTGGTTCAGGCCCATGCCAGCTCTCGGCAGGATGGAGGGGCTGCAGCAGCCACAGGCGGGGGCCCGGGGACCGTGGCCGTGGTGCGAGTCCGAGGGAGGAGGTGACAGCGTGAGGGGAGGAGACAGTCAGCGGCCCCACGGTAGCTGCGGGGCCACACCTGACCTCGCGTGTGGCGCTCACAGGGACTGTGCCGTGGCAGCAGCTGCAGTCCAGGGAGGACGGTGGCCTGACACGGGTCAGAGGGCCCAGACGGTGGCCCTGCAGGGCCAGATTCCACTGCAGGGACGGGAGGCAGATGGGGGCAGGGGGAGGGGTCCACGTCTCTCAGGACGGGGGTCTGTGGAGAAGGGGAGATGTTCTGGAGTGGAGGGTGGGGATGGCTGCCAGCCAGGCGACGGGGCCCTCGACCATCTTGTTTCATCCTTCGAGTCATCACGGGGGACCGTGTGATGCGGGGGACCCAGCCCAGGGCTTCCACGTCGAAGCAAGAGTCAGTCAGGGCGCCACTTGGCAGATCCACATTCTGGGCCCCTGCCCTGTGCAACCCCCAACAGAGGCCTGCAGCCTCGAGCCGGGGACACGGACAGCGCCGGGGACAGGTGCCAGAGACCAGGTGTGTCCTGGAGCTACCGTGCCCAGCCATGGTGGGCATTGGCCCCCAGCTTCCCAGGGACGAAAGCATGAGCAGGTCAAAGAGCGTGACCTGCCGAGGGACCCACTCCTGACGGGTAAAGGTCCCTGGCCAGAGGGGCCACGGGTCAGGGAGACCGCTGCTGAGGGAATTGCTCTGCTCCAGCCTCAGGTCCTGCACGGGAATGACAGGCTGAGTGCCGGGCTCAGGACAGACTTCCCTCCAGTGAAACAGAGCTGTGGGGACAGTGTCAGCCGGAGCCACAGAGAGGCAGAGCCTGTGGGGACAGTGGCAGCCAGAGCCACGGAGGGGCAGCGCCTGTGGGGACAGTGGCAGCGGGGCCACGGAGGGGCACGGTCTCTGGGGACGGCGTCAGCCGGGGCCACGTGCCTACGGCACTTGTGTCCAGCACGGGCCTGAAGGCAGCTCCTGCTCAAAGGCTCCACGTTTCCACGCTCAAGTGCACGAGACAAACGTCCTGGCTGGAACCTGACGCCTGAGGTCACCTCATCCTTCGCTTGCCCAGCTCCCAGCTGTGTGGACTTAGAGGAGCAACTGCCAGGAGCCCGGGGGGAGCAGACCTGCTCAGGGCCAAGGGACTCTTCCGGCGACCCTGCCAGGTGCCTCTACCAGGCGACGCTGCCAGGTGTGCTGGGCTCAGTGGCGGGGCCAGGCGTGCGTGCCCTCGCAGCTGCAGGGGCAGGTGAGGGAGCTCCCGCCGGGCGGCTCGCGCTGGGCTGCCCCGTGTCCGTGCACAGGCCTGGCGGCGTCCATCTCCCTGTGAGGCCCTCTGGCCAGGAGGTCAGGAGGCCCGAGGGGGCCCTAGAGGGCAGGGCTGGGAGACGTGCTGTGGGCTGCTCTGTGGAGAACTCGGGGCGATCGGCATGGGAAGGCGCCAGGCGGACCCCACAGGAGAGAGGCGACTGGTCAGGGCGGGGGTGTGAGGGGTCTTGTGTGCACGAGACGCTGGGCCTGTCCCCGCAGGAGTGAGGCTGCAGGAGCACAGCCGGGAGGAGGGGACGCCGCAGCCACACCTGCAGGACACGGGACACGACGGGGACCCGCCCACCGGGGACTCGGCACTCAGGACAGGAGCCGCCTCTCCACTTAGGACTCAGGGACCCGGGCGGACACTGTCACTCACCTGCTTGTGGGCGGCACTTTCTGGCGCCCCGGCTGTGTCTGCAGCCCCCTCAGCGCGGAGCAGCCCTGCGGCTGGGCCTGCACCTGGAGGGTCCTGGGAACAGGGAGGGGGGCTTCCCTCTGTGGGGCGCTGGCCAGGCCCCTCTGCCCCTCCCTGTTGCCCCTCGGGCTCCTGCTCCGGCCACGGTGGACACTGAGCCCGAGAGCCCGACAGGCCGTTCACCCCCTGCTCAGAGGCCCCCTGGGGGTGCACAGGAGGGTCCTGGGCACTGGTCAGTGATGGGCGGGGGGCACCAGCCTCGGGCCCCTCGGGCAAGAGCTGGGGGGAGGTTCCCACTTTCCTCAGGCGGCTCCTCTCCAGAAAGCTGGGGTGTGGGTCAGCCTGGGCATCCAGGAAGAGGCTGGCCAGATCCTCCAGGTTGAGGCTCTCCCCGTTTCTCACGGGGGCTGGCAGCAGAGGCCTGGGGGGCAGGGTCCCGGCATGCCCTGGGCCTTGGCCAGTCTGCAGGGGGTCCGCAGGAGGCTCCTCCGGGGTGGGCAGGTCTGTGGGTGCTACACTCTTAGGCGTGACTGTCCCCCTCCAGGGGCTCTCGCTGGCGTCTGGAAGAAGCAGAGCTGGCCAGTGACTCCCTGCCCGGGAGGCAGTCACCCCCGGCCACAGCCCGGAGGCCTGCACCCCGTCGCCCTTGCCTCAGCCCCCTCCTCGGGATCAGTGCGGACATGGTCCGCCATATCCTTGGCACTGGCTGGTCAGTGAATGACCCTTGGTCTCCCGTCCAGGTCAGCCACTCCCAAGTAGGTCCCTCAAGGGAACCCAGAGTTTCTACTGCACACACGTGAATGAACACACTACTAGCCAGGCACAAACACCTATGTACACAACATGCATGTACACGTATACATACACACCTGACCACAATGCACACACAGATGCACACACATGCACATTCACACACACCCATGCAAACATAGGTGCTCACACACATGGCCATCTACACACATGTTCACGTGCATGCCCATGCGTACCCAAGCACACAAGACTCATAAGTGTATGCACACCTAGGTGGGTGCACATACAAATACATGTCCATGCATAAAGTCACGCACACATGTGTACACATACCTGTGTACACCTGCACACACAATGCACACGCAAACTCAGGCACATGCAGTACAATGGCAGGTGCAGGCACACATGCAGAGATCCGTGGATACAATGCTTACAGGCACACACCTCCTATGTGCTCACAATGCACAGTGCGTACTCACAGGTGAATACACACATATACACAACCTGCTTAAACACAAAGACCCACACATGACCATGTATGCACAAATACATAAGCAGACCTACGCACACAAGCACAATGTGCAGATGCACGGACACAGTGCGCTCACATTCCCCGGCGTGTCCCACACACGACTGCATGCATGCACATGCACAGTCTCGGCAACGCTGCTGCTGGCTCGGGCTCCTGTGGTCAGACACGGACGCAGCAGCCACGTGGGCTCGTCTGAGGCTCCAGCAGAGCCCCGCTCACCGGACAGGCCAGGTGCTCTGGCTCGGCACGGACAAGGGCCCGGCCGGCGGTGCTGGGCTGTGCTGGACAATCCGAAAGACGCCGACCCAGGCTGCCCTGAGCCCTCTCACCTCTCCTGGGATCTGAGCTCCAGGCTGAGGGCAAGTGTGTGTTGTGTGGTGGCTGAGTGTGTGCTTGTGACTGAGTGTGTGTGCTTGTGTATCCAAGTGGGTGTATGACTGAACGTGAGTGTGCGTGTGCTCGTACTGCTGAGCCTGTGTGTGGGGTGTGAAGGCCCGTGTGATTTCTGAGGAGTGTGGCTGTGAGCGTAAGGGCATATCTGGTGTCTGAGCACATGGTGTGGGCACGTGTCTTCCTTGTGAATGCCTCGCACATCGCATGTGTGAGACTGTGAGCCTGTGGGAGGATGCACACGTGCATGTGTAAATCTTCATGTGTCTGAGGCCTGTGCATGTGAGGTGCACACGTGTGCTTATATTTGCATGTGAGCAAGAAGCAAATGTGTGCATGCATGCTTGTGTTTGAGCACACGTGTCTGTGTCTCAGTGTGTGCACGTGTACCGGCACATGTGGGAGACCACAGTCACCTCTGTGCATGCGGTGCGGTGCATGCCTGCTCACCTGGAAGTGCTCCGAAGGACTCGAGGGAGAGCACCCTCCGCCCAGCGGCCGAGAGGCTGCGGCACAGGCGGCAGGAGGACGTGGGCTGCAGCTTCTCCTCACACAGCGCCATGATGCTCTGCGGACAGGGCGACGCCATGGCGGAAGGGACTGGGCGGGGGAGCCTGGCCCAGCCCCCACCCTGAACTGCCCTCAGGGCCGCAGAGAAACAGGGTACCCAGCACTTCCTAGGCCTCTTGGTCTCTGACCCTCAGGGTGATGTGGGTCTGAGGCCAGGGCTGTGGGCAGGCCCCGGTGTGCTGGGGTCAGGCCGGGGCTCCGCTCCAGGTTACCTGGAGGTCCGGCCGCTGTGCAGGGTCCTCCGCTTGCATCCGGCCCAGGAGCGCCTCCAAGTCCTGGCTCAGCTGGGGCGCTGGTTCCGCCACGTACTCCAGGGCGGCCTTCAGGGTGGCGCCCAGGGAGTAGATGTGGGCCTGTGAGGAGAGCCTCCTTAGGGCCTGCAACACTGTCTCTGCAGCCTCTGCTCCTCTGGCCCAGAACTGCAGTTCCAGGGCCAGCATGTATATGGCTGTGTGGCAACATGACAGTGTGGCAGTGTAGCAACATGGCAGTGTCACAGTGTAGCAGTGTGGCAGTGTAGCAACATGGCAGTGTCACAGTGTGGCAGTGTGGCAGTGTAGCAACATGGCAGTGTAGCAGTGTGGCAGTGTAGCAACATGGCAGTGTCACAGTGTAGCAGTGTGGCAGGGTAGCAACATGGCAGTGTCACAGTGTAGCAGTGTGGCAGGGTAGCAACATAGCAGTGTCACAGTGTAGCAGTGTGGCAGGGTAGCAACATGGCAGTGTAGCAGTGTGGCAGTGTGGCAGTGTAGCAACATGGCAGTGTCACAGTGTGGCAGTGTAGCAACATGGCAGTGTGGCAGTGTGGCAGTGTAGCAACATGGCAGTGTCACAGTGTGGCAGTGTAGCAACATGGCAGTGTCACAGTGTAGCAGTGTGGCAGTGTAGCAACATGGCAGTGTAGCAGTGTGGCAGTGTAGCAACATGGCAGTGTAGCAGTGTGGCAGTGTAGCAACATGGCAGTGTAGCAGTGTGGCAGTGTAGCAACATGGCAGTGTCACAGTGTAGCAGTGTGGCAGTGTAGCAACATGGCAGTGTAACAGTGTAGCAGTGTGGCAGTGTAGCAACATGGCAGTGTCACAGTGTGGCAGTGTGGCAGTGTAGCAACATGGCAGTGTCACAGTGTGGCAGTGTGGCAGGGTAGCAATATGCCTCACTGCTGTCTAGGCTGATCACTATCCTCTGCCTTACTACTGTCCAGGCTCTGGGCAGTGCCTTCCCCCCAACCCGCCTCCATCTCACTTGCTCACCCCAGGCAGCCCCCACCCCACCGCATCCCCACCCCTTCTGCATGGTCCTTTGCAGGACAAAGCATTTTAGGTGAATTCTTCAGAAACTGATGGAACAGAGGGAAGGGTGCTTCCTCTGCTCTGGACTCGGGCCCACCCTGTCTGACCGTGAGCATGTGAGTGTGTCACGTGGGGCTGGGGCCAGAGCCTCAGCCTAACCTGGGAAGGGCTGCCCTGGCCGGTGGGGTCAGTGTCTGACCTCGCGACACCTTTGTGCTACATCCCAGCACGGCCTCAGTGCTGGGCCCGAATACCTGGCCAAGCCTATCCCCTGGGATCTGTGACAGCAGAGTGGGGGGTCTTGTGTCTTGAACTGAGCACACTTCTGCCCTGAGTCAGGGGGAGCCTCGGCTGGCTACAAACACGACTTCGGGTCACCTGCCCAGTCACAGGCCCTGCCAACCTCTCCACGGGCGAGTTCCTGGCAAGGAGAGGCAGCCCCTGGTCTGGGTGTCAGACCACACACGTCCTCCCCGCACGACCCTGCAGCTCAGGCACATAACATAAAATAATACACCTCTCCGGGGGGTGGAACTCTGGAAGGAGAACCAAGTGGGGAGGGAGAAAGCTTCTCTGGAGACATAATGGCTGAGAAGAGCAGGGCTGCGGCTGCCCCATCACCACACACCAGAAACAGCGTAGGGTTCTCCTGCACACAGTGACGAAGCAACAGAAGCACCGAGTCCAAGGGCAGCGGGTGGGTGGCACAGAGGACTCGCCGCCCACGCTGAAGGAATGAGGCCAGGTGGCTCTCAGGCGTCCGGAGCAGCGAGGGCACTGTCCTTGCTGCTTGAGTCATGTTCTCCAGGGTGGACCTTATGTTCAAAACAAGCCTTGGCAAATTTAAGGTCTGAGACCAGCCCCAGTACCTTTTCTGGCCACAACTGCATGAACCCAGAAATCAGTACGGGAGGAAAAAATGAAAAGTGTAGAAATGTTGGAAATGAAGAAAGATTCTCCTCGAGAATGGTGCATCGAAGAAGAAATCAGGGACCAAAAAGTGCAACGGGGAGGGCATTTGCCTTGCATGTGGCCAACTTGATCCCTGGCACCACAAACAATCCCCTGAGCCCACCAGGAGTGATCCCTGAGTGCAGAGTCAAGAGCAAGCCCTGAGTAACTCTGGGTGTGAACCAAAAACAAACAAAAAGAAATCAAAATGGAGATAAAAATACCCTGAAATAAACAAAACTTCCAAAATGGATGGGAGGCGGCAAAGGCTGTTCAAAGAGGGCAGTTTCTAGGAGTGAACATCTACGTCAAAGAAAAAGATCTCACGCCAGCCACCTAACAGTACACCTGAAGCAACTAGAAAAAGAAGAAAAAGCTAAGTCTAAAATTAGCGCAGAGAAGGTTATCCACAAAGCTCAGAGCCGAACTGAACGAAATGGATACAAAGAAGCAAAGATTAATGAAACTAAGAACTGACTCTTGAAAGGATGCACAGAAACTGACAAACCACTAGCTAAACTAAGAAAAGAGTCAAATAAACAAAACCACACACACGAAGAAAGCGGAGACTTCCTAATGGACAGACTCAGCCACAAGGCTGTGATGTAAGATTATATACCAAAAGATCAGAGAACCCAGAACAGATGTGTAACGTACCTAAAAATATATGGCCTATGAAGGCCAAATCGCGAGGAAATAGAAAATCCGAATATACCAATAATAAGTCGATTTGCTCGAGCGGGCCCAGTAACGTCTCCATTGGAGACTTTGTTGTTACTGTGTCTGGCATATCGAATACTCTCGGTAGCTTGCCGGGCTCTCCGAGAGTCAAAAAATATTAAATCAGTTGTCTGAAACCTCCTAACAGAGAAAAGTTCATGGCCAGATGACTTTCCCCAGAGATGTTACCAAATATTTAGAGGAGCACCAATACTGACCCCTCTCACAATCCTGAATATTGAAATAGAGAGATCCCATCACCAACTTTTTAAATGATACCAGCATTATACCCTAACATCTGTGTCAGATAAGCATACAATAAGAAAATGACATGCCTATATCATTGATGAACTGCAGCCCGCTCGAGCATCATTGATGAACATAGATATAAAAGTTTCCAGCAAAATATTATCAAACTGAATTCAACAGCACGTTGAAAAGATAGAATGCTGAGACCACGAGGGTCCCAGGGCAAGTCTGCTGCCCTGCAGGACACTAGCCATGAGGTGGGAAGAGAACGTCACCACCCCAGCAGAGACAGAAGAAGTATTTGAAGAAATTCAAAATCCAAAGGGAAGCATCTCATCATAATAAAGGCATTTGTGGCGACCCCACAATCAAATATCACGGCCAGTGGTGGAAATATGTAAGTTCTTCTTTGACACTGGGACCCAGGGAAAGGACCCAAGTTTCAACAGTCCTGTTCCATAAAGTTCTGGAGGTTCTACCAGAGTATACACAAAAAAAAAATAAAAGAAATTCAAATCAGAGAGAGCGAGAGTGAGAGAGATTGCTTTCAATTACAGATGACATAATCTTACATAAAAAAATCTTAAAGATGTCAATGGATACTTAGAAATCATAATAGAATTGAGTAAGGATTTAGGATTTAAAATTTGCATTCAGAAATTAGTGATATTTCTATATACTAACAATAAAATATCTAAAGTGAAATAAAGAAAGCAACTCCACTCACAATAGAATTGTTTTATTGAACAAATTAGGAAAATATTTAACCAGGAAAACAAAAGATCTGTCTTCACTTATGTAATACTTGGACAAAAGAAATGAAGAAAGAATAAATGTAAGGTATCCCATGTCCAGGGACCAGAGGAATTAATATTGCTAAAATGTTCACTCTCTAATTTCCTCTGCATCCTTCACAGAATGAGAAGAGAAAACCCGAAGATTCACATTGAGGGGCTGGAGCAATAGCACAGTGGGGAGGTAGCTTGCCTCACCTTGACCTGGGTCTAATCCCCGGCATCTCATAGGGTCTCCTGAGCACTGCCAGGGATAATTCCTTAGCGCAGAGCCAGGAGTAACCCCGGAGCATTGCCAGATGTGTCCCCCCAAACAAAAAAGTAAAATGATTCATAATGAACTCTGAAAGGCCCAGATAGCAAACCCATCCTGAGAAAGAACGAAGCTAGAAGAATCACATTTCTTAAACATTACTGAAAAGCATTAGTTATCAAAAACGCAAAGGTGCTGATATAAGGACAGAGGCACAGGTCACTGGGCAGAGCAGAGACCAGAAATGAAGCCCCTGTGTGTGGTCAGTGAACGCTGGTGCCAATGCTCACCTCTCCAGCCTATGGATGCTGGGAGCTTTGGTTGACCACATTTGGAATAATGAACAGGGACCAACTTGCACGTCACAGAAAGGACAAAACTGGTGAAAGGGTCCACGGAAGACCTGCACCCACAGACACTCAGTGAAAACACTGAAGGGGGCCTGGACGGGGGCCAGGAGGGCGGGGGAGATCTGTGGTCAGCTGGGGAGGGCTGGGAGCCCCGAATGGAGGGAGGTCCAGGCTGAGGGGCTGGCCAGGAGCAAAGTGGGGCAGGAAGGAAGGCCTGGCCGGGGCTCGAGAGGTGATGGGCCAGGCTGGGAGGCACAGCTGCCCCCCGGCCCCGGAGCACACAGCAAACGCTGACGACGCTGAAGGTGCACAGCTGGTCAGAGCTGGCACACCGAGCCGGCAGAGGCCAGCCCAGGGTCTGAGCAGCAGCTCCGGCCCAGCAGGAGGTAGAGGCTTTCGCGAGTTCCAACAGACCAGACCCACTTGGAAGGGGCACTCTGCTCGCACACACCCTGTGGGAACCCGATGAAGGCCAGCACCGCCTCCTGGGCATCACCAGCCACCCCAGGACAGAGCTGCACCAGAGCACAAGCTGGGGCCAGTCACTGCCCAGCTCCAGCCCGGCCCCAGGGCCAGTCCCAGCCCAGTCACTGCCTGGCCCCAGGGCCAGTCTCAGCCCAGCCCCAGCCCGGCCCCAGGGCCATGCTGCTGCCGTCCTCTGGGGCCATGGCAAGCCTGACCAGTCTCCCAAGACCAAGACCCTGTTCTTGGAGAGGCAGTGAGAGGGGGCAGGAGGCCAAGGAAGGGCCACTCAGCTCAGACCTTGAGGCGAAGGACAGGGAAAGTCTTGTCAGACACCGCAAAGAACTGCAGGGTGGCCGATGGGGGCAGCGTGCTGGGCCGCGATTCCCCCCAGTAGCAGGCGGCAGAGCAGCCTGGCCAGCAGCCTGAATCAGAGCCCAGATGGCCGGGAGCACCGGCTCCTCCCCCGCCCAGAGGAGACCCCGAGGGCTGCTGGGTGTGGCGAGAGCAGCAGGTGCCCGAGGGAAGGCCAAGAATCCAGGTCACTTCTGAGCAAAAGCAAAGAGAGCTGGGGCCCGCGGGGCCAGTACAGGGGAGGGACACAGGGAGGGGCCACACCCAGCACGCGCTAGGAGCCTGTCCCCAGCCTTGGCCCCAAGTCCCTGAGCCCTGTCACTGCCGTCAGCCAGGGTCACTTGCAGCCCCGGGAGGGGCGGCCCAAGAACACGCCATGCGCCTGTCTCTGAGCGCCTCACTCCCGGGGTCGCCCTGGGGTCCCCCTGGCCTGTGTGAGGCTCCCTCTCCACCCCGTTGGGGCCTGGGACGGGACCACCCCTCCCCTCCACTGCCCAGCAGGCTCTGCTGGGCGACCCCCAAGGAGGGCCCTGGCTCCAGGCCAGGAGTGAGGCCTGGGGGCATGAGCAATAAGGGGGAGCAGGGGTGCTGGGCGGGGACTGGGGCCAGGCCGGGGGTCCAGAGCCAGCCCCAGGGCAGACGCCACACTCACCTCAAATGTGTTCCCAGTGTCATCGAACTCCGGGGGAACAAAGGCGCCCTCGGGGTCATCTGGGGAGAAAGTATGGGTCTCTGTGCCTGGGCCCGCCAAGGGGCCGAGCCCACTGGGGAGCCGTGTCCACGCTCCCCCCAAAGTGCCGCCTGCCCTCCCTGCCCTCTGCCCTCTGCCCTCCAACCCCACCGCCACCCGTTTCCTGCCCCGGCGTCTCCTGTTCCTGTTGATTCTCATCCCTGGGCCTGTGTCCCTCCCTCCCCCCTCACCGCCCCCAGCCCCACCCCAGTCCCCGTCCCCTGTCCCCACCCCATCTCCTGAGACCCCGTCCCCATCCCTGTGCCCTCCCTTGTCCCTGGTCCCCATCCCCCGTTCCCCTACCCGTGTCCCCGCTCCCGCCACAGTGCTCACCGCTGAGCTGCTCCATGAAGCAGATGCTGCCGCTGCTGTTGAAGGCCAGGGTGTCGGGCGTGATGCAGAGCGTGTGGAAGAGCCCCGGGGCGGAGGCGGCCACGCTGCGCAGCGCCAGGCCACACTCCAGGCACACGGCCCAGGCCTCCTGCTCGCCCAGGCTGCCGTCCCGCAGAGACAGGACGTCTGCCAGCGACACGTTCTCCTGCCGGAAGGGGAGGCTGAGCGGGCCCTGCCCAGAGCTGCCCTGCCGAGTCGGGCTTGGGGGCAACCCGGGGGCGGGTGGGCGCCCTGGGGGCCCAGTCTGCCCGTCCTACTGTGGAGAGTGGTGGAGGCCGCAGGGCGGCCACTCAGGAGTGGGCCAGGCCTGCCCGAGAGTCCCCTGGGCCCGGCCCCTCCCAGCCCGGCCCTGAGCCAGCCCACCTTGCCCTGGCTCCTGGCCGAGCCCTCCACCCCACCCTCCCCGCCTCCGTGGCCCCTCTGAGCCCGGTGCTCTGGGGGTTCCCAAGTCACACTTCCAGCTCCTGCTGCGCTGGCCCAGGCTGAGGGGTGCCTCCACCTCGGGAAGCCACGTGACGCCGATGACACGGCATGATCACACGTGCACATGTGGGCATGCTAATGACACATGGCACAGCTGGTCACACATGCGCACACCGATAATAGCAGCACGATCTCACCTGTATAGACATGCACAGCTATGACGCACGACACAGCAAGTCACATGTACACAGACGTGCATGCCCTTGACAATGACACCAGCATGCCACAGACACACACACCAGTACAGTCTCATATGCACACGAGGCAGCTAACTCCAACAACTCACGCGACACAATCCCTGCAGGCACACACATACACACATGACAGGCTATGACAGGGCTCCAAGGCACAAGCCGGATGGCTCTCTGCAGGTGTGAGCACGCACGCACGCGCACACACACAGATACACACGCGCACACACACACACCAGCTCTCCCCCTCCCCCCACAAACACCAACTCTCCCCCACACACACAGAGATTCACACTGGAGCAGGCATGTGTCCAGCAGACACACACACACACACACACACACACACACACGGAGACACACCAGAGCAGGCACGTCCAGTGCACACACGCAGCTCTTCTCACATGCATTCCACACAAGCACGCTCCACCCCTGTGGCACACCCACCGGCACAGACCCACACGTATACACTAACCTGCACACCCACCCCCACACTCGCGTGTGCTCACAACACACATCAGACGACCTGGAGCTCAGGGCCTCTCTCCTGTCGCCTCCGTGTCAGGGACAGTTTGGGAGTCAGCCTGGAGGAAGCATGTACGAGTCAGGCTGGGTCCAGGTGGGGTCCGGGCATGGGGGTGAGTGTCCAGGGCAGGAGCTGGAGCCCAGCCCTCCTCTGACCCACGTGGGGAGCCTGCACACAGTCAGGCTGCCTCGGCCCGTGCCTCCCCCTCACAGTGCCAGGGCAAACGAGATGCAACGAGGAAAGCACGTTGGGCTCCCGGCTCTGGGCTGGGCCTGGGGCAAGGGGCTGAGGGTGCCGGGACAGGCCAGAGGCGGGGCCAGAGGGGCCTGGTGAGGTGGCCCAGGCCTTCTAGCCCCTGTGCTGGCTGGCAGGGAGGGGGCCTGGATGTTCCAGGAGGGGCTGTGGGGCTGTGCGTGTGGGCAGAGGTGATGGTGAGCCCCGGAGGGCTGGCAGGGGCACAGACGTGCCCAGCTGAGCATCCAACTCCCACCGGGAGGGTGCAGGCCCGGGAATCTCCCCGTCACCTCTTGCTCCCGACTCCTCGGGGCCAGGGAAGCTGGTGCTCCTGGACACCGGGTCAAATAGGCACCAAGGTGTGAGCACCCCCCTATGCACACACACACTCATGCCTTTACATGCCTATACACTCACCTCCACATGTAGGCACACACATGTACGCACATAAAACATGCACTCTACATACACACACAAATGCACATGCATGCACACACCACACACCACACATGCACACGTGCACAGCCACACATGTACACACTGCACATATAAGCATGTGTACCTACTTCATACACGCACACACCATAAACAAGAACATACACACCAAACACCTGGCCAGACCTGTGAGTTCACATCACACATGTGTGCGAATGCCACACACAGGAACATGCTTGTGCACTCACACGCTTCACGCACCCCCAGACCCACCCTTGCTCTTGCTGTGGGCTGAGCTGCCCCGAGGGGCCCCTGCAGGCAGCCCACAGGGCACCTTGCCCAAGCACCCTCTGATCCCCGCCCTCCAGCAAACTGGTAGGCGGGAGGCTCTGCCTGGCACCACCACACGCCGGGGAAGCTTCCAGAAGAGCCGGGGGCCCGGACACCCCGGCTGCAGTGGCCACAGTGGCCGCTGTCCTGTCTCTGAGCTGCCAGGGCCCTGCCGGCCTCTGCGGCGCTGCCAGCTCACCGCTGGGCTCTCCTTGTGCTAGACTGACCACGCACAGCCACGTGCTGGACCCCCCAAACCCCCCCCCCACACACACACACACACACAGGGCTGGTTCAGGAGGGATCCCGGTCAGGGGTCCCCCTGCCTCGCAGGCACCCAGGCAGCCTCACCAGCCACAGGGGGCAGGAGCTCTGGAGCCTGACCACTCCTGGGGTCTGACACACCCGGGCTCAGGCCCTGGGACCCGCTCTCGGCCCCTCCCCGCCTTCCTGAGGCACCAGGGGTCCAGGCACAGGGAGGCCGCATCCCAGGCACCCTTCAGTGGCCACTGCGACCTCAGGACAGGCCCCTGACCCTGTGGGGGCTGGCTCCTGGGGGCCCCGGGGGGGCCCCCAATCAGTCTCCCCGGGAACCCAGAGCCCATGGGCGGGCGCTGGTCGCTGGGCACCCGCCCGAAGCTGCTTCTCACAGGACGCTCCTGGCCTGGCCACGGGCCAAGGAGGCCTGGACGCAGCGTGAGCACTGCGGGCCGTGGGGGCAGCCGCCGTGCCCGCGATCCCTGCTGAGGGGCTCAGCGCGGCTCCCGCCTGAGGAGGAAACTTCTGGCGGGGACACGCCGGCACCGGGGGAGGGGACGCCCCGGGTGACCCCTGTGGCCTCTGCGGCAGCCCCCGCCCCCGGCTCTCCGGGGCGCCGGTCCCCGCCCCGCGCAGAGGCGCAGGGGCTCCGAGGGGAGGGTGGGGTCCGGCTCACCTCGTCCTCGGCCAGGGTGGGCAGCGGCTCGAAGTCGTAGAGGTCCAGGTCGCTGCTGTCGCCCCGGCAGAGCCGCGCGGCGCCCGCGCTGGGGGCCTGCATGGTGCCCGCGTCCAGAGGCCCCGCCGCCGCGCGCCCCTGCCCGCGTCCGCGCCCCGCCGCGCGCCCCCCGGCCCGGTCCGGGTCCGGTCGGGTCCGGCGCGGCGCTGGTCCCGTTGCCCGGCGCGTCCCGGCTCCGCCCCCGCCGCGCCCCGCCCGCCGCCGCCGCAGTGTCCGGAGGGAGGCGGGTCCGCGCGCTGCAGGCGCGGGGTCCCGGGCGCGCGGCAGGGGCCCGGGGCTGCGGCCCTGCCGGCGCGGCTCCCAGGGCACCCAGGTCCCCCCAGGGCAGGAGCCGGGCGCTGACCCTCCTTCACAGAGACGAGGCTGCTCCGCACCGCCGGACCCGCAGGAGCAGGCTGGCCTCTCCCCTGCCCCGGGGGGACCAGCAGACCCATTTGGTTCCACCTGGCTGGGCCTGGGGAGCGCTCCTGGCCCCGTGCTCAGGGCTCAGTCCTGGGCCCCCTGTGGGCTGTTGGGATGGAACGCGAGTGCCCGCCCTGTGCTGTCTCTGGCCCTAGGAAGCCCCCGGGGTGACGGGGGCACCCTCGTCCCCACTGTCACTGTGGGGGGCTTCGGGCATCTTACGCCCCTGTTTTGGCGCTGGGCTCCTCCCTCCCCACGGCTCAGGGGTCTCTCAGTGGGGTCCGGGTTGTGACCGAGGTCCCTGCACTGCCAGCCCAGCTCCAGCGGTGGTGGCTAAGCTCCGACTGGAGGTGGCTGTGGGGGTGGGGGGAGCCGCAGCCAGTCCCCCCAGAGTCAGCCCCTCCTGCTTCATTTGCAAACTCCCCAGGACGGGGCAGGTAGCGCCCGACACGCCCCTCTGGACCCTGGTGCTGACTCACTGAACAAGGGACGGAAAGTGAGGGCAGAGCACCAGCAAACCGGCTCGAGAAGCTGGTGGCAATTCCCCGCGCCTGCAGGTGGGACCCCCACCCCTGATTCTCCCCTTCAGGGAGGGAAGGGAGGGGCTCCTCCGAGGGAGGCTGAGACGCCCCCTTCTCTGGAGGGAAGCTGGCGGGCACCTGAGAGGGGGCTGCTGCCCACCTGCGCTGAGTCCCGCCTCTCAACCTCCGTGGCTCAGGAGCCTCGGAGGCGGCCGCTGTGGGTGGTGGGCAGAGGGTCTCTGTTTTGGGGTCCCTGTTTCAGCCCTCTGCCCTGAACTCCGTGTGCATTTCTTCCCTTGGTGGGTGTCCTGTGGGCTCAGCACTGTCCGAGGCCCCCCTCCCGCCAGTTTCTGCAGCGCACGGTGAGATTTCACACCCCCTCCCCCCCAAGTCCCACCACCCCGAACTTCTCCACCTGACCCTCCTGTGGCCCTTGGGTGGGGGGTAGGTGGACCCAGGCGGCCTGGACGGCGGCGGCCCTGCTGGGTCCTGGTGCAGCCCAACTTTCTCTAGACCTGCCTTTGGCACCAGAACACTGGTGGGTGCTGGGGGGCAGCCGGTGGTGAGGCCACTCTGAGCACTGGCAGTTCAGGACAGTGGGGGGCCCCACAGCGGTGTCCTCATGAGTGACGCTCTCTCTGGGGAGAGTCTTCAGAGTGACGGGTTCCTGCACCCGGGGGCTATAGGTCTGCACGACCGAGGGCCGTGAGCAAGTGAGTGACCGAGGGGAGGGCTTCTGAGGGGGGACTGCGTGACCGGGGGGCTCTGAGTGGGTGTGCGTGATTGGGGGGCTTGAGGGAGTCTGAGTGACTGGGAGCCCAGGGGCCTCTGAATGAGTGCGTGACTGGGGGTCTCTGAGGTTGGGGTGCTCTGGGTGAGTCTGCGTGATGGGGCCTTGGAGGGACTGAGTGGCCAGGGGGCTCTGAGGGGGGGCTGCGTGACTGGGGGGGCTCTGAGGGAATCTGCGTGACCAGGCACTGGCTGGGTTGTCTTTAGCTGGTTCTGAACTGGGAGCAGGGGGTGGTGGGGAGGAGACGGAGGGACTAAACTTGCCCTGTGCCCCCAGTTGAAGCCTCACCTCACTTGCCCCTACCTCTGCACCATCTCCTGTGGGCGGGTGCCCTTCAGACGGAGTCCCTGGTGTGGGGACAGGAGCCGCCTGTGCTCTGCAGGGGCTGAGGGCCCCAGCGTGTGTGCTGGGGCAGCTCAGTGTGGACTCTCGGGGTCCAGCAGGGGCATCGGGCTTCATCCTGCTGGTTCTGTGCAGACATAGCACCTGCGGCCTCCTGCCGAGGCTCTCACCAGCCTGGTCTCCTTGGGGACAGCCGGTGCCCGAGGGCCCCGTCCTCCTGTCATGGTGGCCCCACTCCACGGGAGCCTCCTGGCCAGAGCCGGCTGTGACCTGTGGGCACCGAGTGCCCCTCGTCTGCCTGTGCCCCACCCGCTGCGAGCAAGGAGCCCTCGGGCGTCCAGGCAGCCGGCAGGAGCGTTCCATCTCGGGCCAGTAGGGGGCATGCCCCACCGCCCCGCCCCGGAGCTGACCGACACATGCAGGAGAGCATGGACAGATAGAGCAGGTCACCTGTCCCCTGCCCAGGCTGTGTCCCCGACACTCATGAGTCTGAGTGATTCTGAGACATGCCCTATCCTAGGGCAGAGCTGAGGGAGGGGTGAGTGTCCCACAGGGGCGGGGAGGGGCTCTCTGCACGACTCACTGTGACCACAGGGTCCTCGGGGACGTACTGTGTGCCCTGGATGCTGGCCCGCCCCACCCCTGCCTCCCTCAGGGTCCAGCTGGCCTATCTCTGGCCTCCTCGGTGGCTGCCTGACCGCCCCCCACCCCCGACTCGACTGTCCTCATGGTCTGGCTGCAGCAGGGGCGAGGCCCACAGCCCTGTGCATGGCTCAGGACAGGGCCTGGACGAGCCAGCAGCGGGCGCCGGGGTGGGCGGTGGGGGGTAACGGTCCATCCTCAGCAACATGTGGGGACCCGGCCTGGTTCTGTGGGAGCTGCCCAGCCCCTGGGATGCAGGGACTGGGCTGGCCCAGCCGGCCATGGTCGCAGGGTCCCTTGGGGGCGGGCAGGGGCCCCGAGGACAGTGCCCGGGGCTGCCGGCAGAGCCACGGCACACAGCACACGCAGCCTCGCAGCCACGCCGCAAACACTGTATTTGTTGGTGACCTACAGCACACGCTGTGGGCCTGCCTGCAGCAGCAGCAGCAGCCACTCGAGCACACGCAGGCCACACACGGTGCAGGCGTGTCCTGGGAGACGGGCGGGCCCGCGGGGGGGGGGGCGCACACCCCTTCCGTCTCCTGCCTCAGTGAACGCTCTCAGCCGAGGCGGCTGTCCCGGGGGGAGAGCTGAGCCCCCTGAAGGCACAGAAGAGCCCGCAGCCCCCAGGCTGACGTCTCCCCGGGGGGTCCATGAGCCCAGGCCTGCGTCCAGGCAGGGCCTGAGTGGGGCCCGCTGGCAGTGACCGGCACTCAGGGCCAGGCCCAGGGCTCCCCACGCGGGACAGAGTCTCACAACACACGCTGGGACACGGGAGGGCGTGGTGCTTCGTGGGCGCAGGGCGTGGCACAGGCCTGTCCGCGGGGGGCCACGTGGGCCCCCCTACACACTGGTCTCGTTCCTCCAGGGCCCTGTCCGGATGCTGACCGCACAGCGAGCCCCGTGCTCGTCGCCCCGGAACAGCCCGTTGAGGCCGGGGCCCCCGCAAGGCAGCGACTGTGTCCTGTGAAGCATCTCCAGGTGGACGGGGCCGCAGGCCACCTCCCGGCCGGGCCGCAGGCCGCAGCCGTAGAGCCCATCGGGCTGGCTGAGCACGGGGAAGGCGCTGTCCTGGGCGCAGCAGGCCAGCGTGTGCAGGCCCAGCGGGCCCTCGAGCGAGCTGGGGGCGCTGTCCGTGCGCGAGCTCTGGGGGCTGCCGTCCAGGCTGGACGGGAGGTGGTAGTCGAAGGCCGGCGGGGCGCAGTGCGGCCGCGTCCGGGGCAGCAGGTGGTGCCCGCAGACGTCCTCCTGCAGCAGCTGCTCACGGCGCCGCGTGGCGCAGCAGGGCGTGGCCGGCGACAGGCAACTGGGGTGGCTGGGGGCCGGCAGGCCGGTCAGCTGGCAGGGGCCGGCCGGCAGGTGGCCGTAGCTGCGGGGCTGGCCGGGACAGGGCGAGTCTGGCAGGCAGGCGGGGGGGCCCAGCGCCTCCCCGTCCGCGGCGTGGGGCGAGGGCCGGGCACAGAGCGGGCCGGCGGGGGGCTCCCCGCGGGCAGGGCAGCAGGCCCACCAGCGCTGCCACACGTCGTCGCGCTTGGCGCAGTGGTGGATGAGCACGAAGAGCCCCAGGGTCACGCAGAAGGCGCCGTAGAGGCAGCTGAAGACCATGTCCAGGAGGGGGCCCTGCGACACGGCCAGAGCCCCGAAGGCCCAGGTGGCCGCGAACAGGCCGAGGGAGCAGGCGGCCGCGCGCAGCTGGGCGGGCAGCGAGTGCTCGTTCTGCAGCAGCGAGGCGGCCAGCGCGGGGCGGGCGGGCGGCGAGCCGGGGGGCGCCCGCGGCCGCTCCTCGGGGGCCTCCCGGAGCTCGTACCTGCGCTCGGGGTGACGCCGCAGCTGCACGTAGGCGCCCAGCAGGTACACGCAGGTGCCGAGAGCGATGAAGGCCGCTGGCCCGTAGAAGGCGCCCAGGCTGGGCTCCCAGGCCATCCAGCAGCTGCGGGGAGAGGGACAGTGGGGGACGGGCCTCGGGGGGTCCCTCCCCGGCTGCTGCTCTCCTGGCCAGAGGCCAGTTGGTGTGGGGGAGCCGGGAGTGGGCAGCAGTGTGCGGCCCTGGGGTCCATCCCCAGCGCGGGGAAGGGAGGAGGGGTGGGTGCGGGGGGGCCAGCTCTGGTTTCAGGACCACTGGGACGCGAGGGGGGGCTGGACGCGGGTGTCCCTGGGTTCAACTCACTATGCCGAGTCCTCGTTCTCCTTCCCGTAGTTACGGATATTCGTGGCAGCTGTGACTCCACAGATGATGAAGGGGACCCCCCCACCAATGAGGTAGGACCTATAGGAAGGAGAGCGGAGGAGAGAGGCCCTCAGCACCCCAACCTCAGAGGCCAGACATGGGATGGACACAGGGATAGACACGGCACAGACACAGGACAGACATGGGACACGCAAGTGGCAGACACAACCCGGAGGTGGAACAGGCAAAGGACGGACAAGAGATGGACACGGAATGAACATGGGATGGACACGGGATGGACACAGGATGGATGTGGGATGCACATGGGATGGACATGGGATGGACGTGGGATGGATGTGGGATGAACACGGGATGGACGTGGGATGGATGTGGGATGGACATGGGATGGACACGGGATGGACACGGGATGGGCGTGGGACCATCTGTTTTGCTTCAGGGGGAAAGGAGGGAGGTGCAAGACGCAGGGGCGGCAGTCTGGGGGGAAGGAGCCCCCTCCCCTTCCCCTCCATCCTTCCCCTCTCCTCCCCCTCGGGACCCACCCCCTCCTACTCTCCCTCTCCCCACTCCCCTCCTGTCCTGTTTGCTCCCTCCACGCCATCTCCCCTCCTCTGAGCCCTCCCCGAGCTCTCCCCTCCCCTGCCCCTGCTATGACCTGGCCGGGCCCAGTGGGCCTTCACGTGCTGCAGAAGGGAGGGGAGGACCTGTGATGGGCCTTCCTTTCCCGGGGCTGGGGACCGGCCTGTGTGTCTCCAGCAGTCTGACCTTGGGTGAGCGCTGCAGCCTGCGGGAGGATGGGGTCCCTGGGAACGGAGCGACCCTCTGTGACCTAGTTCCCAGGAGCGCCTGCAGCCCACAGCACCGGGCATCAGCCATGGGGTGCAGAGGCTGCAGCAGGCAAGTGGCGTGGTGATATCCAGAGGCCATCGCTGGCTGTAGCCTCCTCCTCTCCCAGAAATGCCAGGGGCCACCCCAAGGGGCTCAGCGGGTGCAGGGCTGCAGCGCCCAGCTGCCCCACCCCACCGAACGTCAGCCTGTCCCTCCCCCTACGCGCCGATCTGCCCCCCCCGCACATCAGCTTGACCTCACCCCTGCACGCCATCCTGAACCCCTCACCCTGCACACCAGCCTGACCCTCACCCTTGCACGCTAGGCTGACCCCTCACCCCTGCATGCTAGCCTGACCCCTCACCCCTGCATGTTAGGCTAACCCCTCACCCTTGCACGCTCGGCTGCTCGAGGCCATGCAGGGGCAGGAGGGATATGGCTGGCTTCTTGGACTGGCCATGGATGGTGTGTTTCTTACCCTCAGAAATCTGTGACGAGACCACAGGGTCTAAGCCCTACAGAATCACGAAAACCCATGGGCCGGAAGTGGAGAGGTAAGTTCAAGCGGGATTCCAGAGAGCAGCAAAGTAATCCAGGAGGAGATGAAAAAATGCAGCCAAGAGAGAAGTGAGCGGGCAGCAGTGACTGGGGGATGTCCTGAAAGCGAGGGACCACCGAGAGGCAGAGCAGGGGAGGGACGCCGGGCAGGCCCAGCACGTGGCGTACAGGTGGACACGCAGGCCTGCTAGGGGTGACTGGGGCAACCCCCACTTCGGGGCCGCAGGGAAGGCACATCCCAAGAGTAAGAGGGCGGCGGCGCGCCCAGGGGACGGGCCGCCCTCCCTGCTCAGTGCTGGTGCTGCTGAGGCAGCCCTGAGGAGCCCAACTGAGCCACAAGCAGCACTGTCCAGGCGCCCCAATCACATGTGGGCGCGGGGCCTGCAGAACCGGGACACAGTGGGAGCAAGCTCCCAGGCCTGAGAGAGACCGCGCGGTCTGCCCTCTGACCACACCGGAACCCGGGTCTGACCAGGCGCTCTCGGACCGAGAGCTGCTCTGTGGCCTGCAGAATACGAATGGCAGGACCGGGGCACTGTGCTCCAGAAAGTGGCAGGGCCACACCCGGGTCCGTGGCGTCCGTGGGTCTGAAGCTCAGATCCTGCCCGCCCCCAAGGCCAGGCCCACACGAGCCACGGGAGACCTCAACAGAGGCACAGACGCGGCACAGATGCAGCCAGGAGCATGGCCTGGAGGAAGCTGAGGCTCAGACCACTCTGGAGAAAGGCACAGGCTAGAACCCCGAGGTCTTTGTGACCCCCCCACCCCCGTCCAAGTGCAGGACCGGGGGCAGACCTGGGAGAACAGACCAGGCAGGAGAAGGGAAGCAGCAAGGGACTCGGATCATTTCATCGACCGCGGGGCAGCGCCCGGGTGTGAGGCCCGTCCTCAGCCCAAGGGTGGACATGGTCATAGCTGTCCGACAGGAGCAGCCCAAGGCCAGGGGACATGTCCACACCATATCCCCACAGCAGAGTGAGCAAGGATGACCGCAAGTGAACTCCAGGACACCCACAATGATGACCTCTCAATGACCACAGTGACGACTTTAGGTGGCCCCGAGGCTGATGGCCGATGCCTCAGACCAGCTCTGATGGGGGGGCAGTGTCCTGGCCTATGAGACAGGGGTCTCAGAGAGTCACCTCTCTCCCGGAACGCGTCACCCCAAGCCACACTGGAGGACAGGGATCCCGGTAAATGCTCTTCCTCAGACAGGTGTGGCTTCCTCCAGAGCTGGGCAGAGGGGGCACTGGGAGGGTGTGGGCAGGGGCCAGGTGGGCCCCGTGTGTATACAGCGTTGGTGGCCAGGAAGCATGTGGCACGTTACGGGTCAGCGGCAGCCAAGAGAGGTAAGATGTCCAGCAGACAAGTGGCCTGGCTTCTCCCAACATGGCAGGTCACATTCACACTTGAGTTGAGACCCGCAGCTGCTCAGCAGGGAAGTCCAGGCTGGTGGGGATTCAGGGTTCCTTCAGAACAGACGTGGCACAGACATGGTACAGATGCAGTACAGACGTGATACAGATGTGACCCAGATATGGTAACGTTGCGGCATAAGCACTGATGTGGAGCAGATGTGGCCCAGACGTGACCCCAAGCATGCTGCTCGTCAAGGCTCTGTGACAGAGAGAGCTTGCACCAGCCTTCTGGGTTCCCTTCCCAGGGTGACAAGCATTTCCACGAGGCCAGCATCCGGCGCGCTCAGGGTCAGGGAGGCAGACATGGCACAGACACGGCACAGATGTCCGCCACGTGCTCTACTCGGGTATCGGGGGTCTGCTCAGTACAGGGCGCCGCCTGTTTTTTTTTTTCTTTTTGGGTCACACCCAGCGATGCTCAAGGGGTCACTCCTGGCTCTGCACTCAGGAATTACTCCTGGCAGTGCTCGGGGGGACCATATGGGATGCTGGGGATCAAATCTGGGTCGGCTGCATGCAAGGCAAACGGCCTCCCCGCTGTGCTATTGCTCCAGCCCTGGGGGCCGCCTCTAAGGATGGAATTTTCAGGCTGGAGGAGGTGGACAGAGACCAGGGGCCCTGGGGTGCTGAGAAGGCACTGACCCCTATCTTCTCCCCTTGCCTGGGCCCCTAGGGAAGGCTGCATCGGCTCATCTGCCACCAGCACCAGCTCGGCTGTGCCTGGGACAGGCTGAAGGCCCCCAGTCTGTCCACGTCAGGAAGGTGCACCGGCCTGGCATGCCACTAGAGAGGGCCACGGGGCCAAAGCCCCAGGATGGCACCCTGAATGCAAAGGCCACTTTGTAACAAAGGGGAGGGCTACAGAACGAGTCTTCTCTGAGCTCCCTGCTCGTGTGACAGAGAGCCTGAGCCTGAGGCTATGCAGCTTCTGACCACGAGCCCAGACCACAGAACCCAATGTCAGAAATCCCCCAGCCACAAACCCAGTCCACAAGCCTCTGACCACGAGCCCAGACCACAGAACCCAAAGTCAGAAATCCCGCAACCACAAAGCCAGTCCACTAGCCTCTGACCACAAGCCTAGGTAGAGCTCAGACCACCAACTGCATGCAGAATTGACCTTAAGACCCCAGACTCCACAGCTCTGACCACAGAGCCCAGGCAGGGAGGCTGGCCAGGTTTCTTTGGGCACTTGGGATCTGCAGAAGAATGGAGCAGGAGAGCTTGGGGCCTTGGTCCCAACTGTACCCCCAGGAGACTCTGGTCACAGCCAGGAAATACATTTGAAGGCGGTCTGGAAAGCCAGGGGAGCTGGGCTTCCCATGGATCGATGGGGAGGAAAGCTCTGACCAGCACGGCTGCAAGGGCCTGGTCATGGCCACGGCCCCACGGGGACCCCGTGGTCAAGAGGTCCTTCCTTGAGAGTAGCCAGTTTCCTGCAAGTCTGCTACCATGGCCTCAGTGGCCTAGCAGAGGCAGGCTCGGGTCCAAGGTCACTGCATAAATAAAGCTGCCATATGGGCAGCTCAACACACCCTGCTCAGGCCCCCCGCAACTGCACCCCACAGATACCCCACCCTGGCCCCCTACCCGTGCTCCCCAGCCCTCAGCACCTAGCAAGGGTTCCTGGCCAGCGACCAGGGGCAGAGCCGGGACCCCAGGAGAGACCCTGACCTGAACCCCCCGGCTCTAGCCTGCCCCCCTCCTCCAGGTCTGCCCCCAGCTCCCAGTCTCCACACGCCCCCGCCCCCCACCCAGCTCTGATACCTGAGCAGAGGCTGCCGGGGGCTGGGCTGCTGGTGAGCACTGGGGCACGGTGGGGCCTTCTTGGTCACCTGCTCGTAGATGCTCCTGGCAGCCACGCCAAGCCACAGCATGGCAGACAGGGTGCAGAAGTGCAGCGTCACACCCACCTGCCGGTGCAGACACTCAGCACTGGGTGCAGCGGGACCCCCACACCTCCCGGGACAGCGGGGGCCCTAGCACGAGACAAGACAACAGTCCTGAAAGCAGCCGGACAGGAGCCCCGGGAGGAGCCTGACAGTCTGACGGAAGTCTGACAGGACCCCTGGCAGCAGCCCGACAGGACCCCCCAAGACCCCCGACAACAGCCCCAACAGGACCTGACAGCAGCCCCGAGAGGAGCCCGAGAGGAGCCTGACTGGTGCCCGACAGGACCCCCGATAGCACCCGAGAGGGGCCCCACAGCGGCCACCCACAGCAGGCGCCCGACAGTGGCATGTGGGACAGGAGCCCTATGTGGGCTGCTAAGGGGCAGTCTGTTGGGCCGAGAGGACAGTGGGGGCACTGTGCACTCCACGAGTCGTGGGATCCCGAATGCTTCCTCGCGGCCTTCGCGTGGGGCCAGGAGTTCGGGCAGCCCCGGGGCCTCCAGTTGGGGCCCCCAGCAGGTTGGGGTGGGCCGGCCCCCCACTCTGCTGCCCGCAGCAGGGCCCAGCACAGTCCCATGCCCAGAGGCACCCAGGTGCCACCTTCAGCTGGACCCTCATGGGCGGAGACAGGCTGGGCAGCTCTGCGGTGATGCCCGCTGCCCCTGCTCTCTACTGTCCTGTGACACATGCAAGGGGTCCCGGGGGACTGGGCCCTTGTGCCCGATGCCACCCGCCGCCTGTGATGCTGGCAGACTGGAGTGAGCAGGTCCAGGGAAGAGCAGGACAAGTCAACCAGCCCCTCAGCACAGCCAGTGGCCAACTGGTGGCCAACAGAGTTGACAGGCCACCTGGCTGACGGGTCACCTGGCTGATGGGTCACCTGGCTGACAGGTTACCTGGTGGGTGGGTTACCTAACCAGCGGGTCACCTGGATAACGTATCACCTGGCTGATGGGTCACCTGGTCAATAGGACACCTGGCCGATTGGTCACCTAGCTGAGAGGTAACCTGGACAACGGGCCACCTGGCTTATGGATTATCTGGCTGACGGGCCACCTGGCTGATGGACCACCTGGCTGACAGGTTACCTGGTGGGTGGGTTACCTAACCAGCGGGTCACCTGGCTGACAGGTCACCTGGCCGACAGGTCACGGGTCACCTGGCTGATGGGCCACCTGGCTCTCCCATTGCAGTGTGAGGTGCAAGACTCACCGCCTGGCAGAGGCCCGGGTACTTGGTGTGGTTGATGCCGCCGGCAAACACGGAGAAGGTGAGGGCTGTGTGCACGCAGAAGTTGAGCAGCACGTGGCGGCCCTCGCGGCTGATGCGAATGGCGCTGTGGAAAGGGGCGCACGTGATGCCCTCTGCCCTCCGAGCCCTCTCAGCTCCTGGGATGGGAGGGGGCGCAGGGAGTGGAGGGACCCCAGCCTGATCTCCGCGGGAGGGGGAGGGAGGGGCCCGTCCAGCTCGGCTGTGTGTGTGGGGGGGTGCCGGGCCCGTCCCATCTCGGCTCGGGGCTCACCTCTGGTGCACGAGGTAGGTGATCACAGACGCCAGCAGGCACAGCAGCATGACAGCAGTGCAGGCGTACACCACGGGGTGCAGGAACTCCCCTGGGTGCTGGGGCGGGGACAGGACGCTCTTCAGATCCTGTGGGACAGGGGACGAGCTGTCGGCTTTCCTGGAAGCAGACACCCACAGCGGGGTCTCTGCCCCTCGGGGTCACCCAGATGGGGGCTGGCTGCCTCCTCAGGGACAGTGTGTTTGGCCTCACGGGGATGCCCGGGGAGCGAGGGAAAAGTGGCCGCTGCCAGGATGCCCGTTCGGGGTCAGGGGTCAGAGGTCAGAGGGCACATTCTCGTGGGAAGCTTCTCCTCAGTCAGACCAAGCGAGGGGGCTGCTGAGGGCCGAGGCAGAGGCTGTGCCGGTGCCCCATGGCCGCGCCACAGGGAGAACACGGGCAAGGTCACATGCCCAGAGGACAGTGTGGCCTGCTGGGCCCTGTTTCCTCTGCAGCTGCCCAGCAGAGGTGACCCTGACTGCGAGGGTCAGTCGGGGAGCCCGGGGGCACGCAGTTGCTCTGGAGATCACGTCTGCTACTCCAGGCCGCGACATGGTCCAGCTGTTCTAGAAGCGAGGGCATGGACGCTCTCCCCAGGCCTCTTCCGGGGGACTGAGGGCTCAGCGCTCGCTTGGACCAGGGCCCATTTACATGAGCCCCTTTCTTTGTCTCCTTGGGGGGCCTCCTGAGTGGTCCTGAGGGTGTGGGGTCACTCTGGGGGATTCTTTCAGCCAGGCCAGTGGGTCAGCGCCAGGATAAGGAGCTGCAGAGGCCCGCCGGGCCCTAGCAACAGACCAGGCGGTGCTGGGGACCCCGCACGTCTCCACGTACAAGCAGCCGTGCGGCCTGGCCTGCTCTGCCCGGCACCCGGCGCCAGGCTCCTGGGGCGGGGGGTGGGGAGGAGGGGCCAGGTGCGGACCGTGCAGATCCGCCAAGGGCTCGGACTGCGGACACTGGGGCTGCTGACCGGGTCCGGCTGGCTGGGTGCTCAGTGGCCGTGCCACTGGTGCTGAGGAAGGAGAAAGCCTGAGGCAACCGCTGAAATCCATCACCCCACTTCCCCCCAAAGGCCGGGACCACAGCCCGGGCAGCAGCTTGTGGTGGCCATCCTGCAGAGACTCGTGGCAACTCCAGGGGCCAGCTCTCAGAGGTGCCAGGCCCTGTCCAGCTTAGGCCTGGTGGGACAGCTCCGAGCCTGGGCGCCCAGGACGGGCACAGCAGGAGCAGTTGGTCCTGTCCCCACTGGGCCTCTGCTCTGTCCGGCTCTCTGAATGCGGGTGGCCACCAGCAGAGGAGCGACCCGCCGCCCAAGGCGCCCCCTCTGGGAGTGGTCTGCTTGGGTCCCCACCCCACGAGGCCTGGCTCCGCCCCCCACCCTCAGGCTCTGCCACTGCTGTCTCTGGGCCCCTGGCACACGAGAGGCTGCGGCCAGCGCACGTCCGGAGGACTTGGCGGTCAACCCAGGAGGCGTCCACCCAGCAGGGGCTGGGCCCACACCCGAGGCGCCCGGCATGGAAGTCGTGCTGAGATCTCTGCTGTCTGCACAGCAGTGTGGCCATGGGTGGGGGGGGGTGTCACGTTGGGCAGCTGCACATCCTGTGCCCCGGACTGGGTTGGGTAAACCCCAGCCCCCGCAGGCCAGCGGCCGCCTGGGCCTGTCTCCTGGACGCAGACCTGGCTGGGGTGTCTGACCAGAGCTTATGGGCAGGAGGGTGGGACCTGGGGGCACTGCCCAGGTGTACCTACAGCCTCCGGGGAGCTCCTTGGCGCGCGGCTCTGAGCCCTGCTTCCTCTTGTTGGTCTGCAGTCCCGAAACTCCAGGCACGAATGTTATCGGTGAGGTTGTGTTGGGAGCCATACCTGGCTCTGTGCTCGGGGTCACTCCTGGCTCTGGGCTTGGGGCTGACTCCTGGCTCTGTGCTCAGGGTCACTCCTGGCTCTGTGTTCAGTGCTCACGCCCTGCTCTGTGCTTGGGCTCACTCGCGACTCTGTGCTCAGAGGTCACTCCTGGCTCTGTGCTCAGTGTGACTCCCAGCTCTGTGCTTGGGCTCACTCGCGACTCTGTGCTCAGGGATCACTCCTGGCTCTGTGCTCAGGGCTGACTCCTGGTTCTGTGCTCAGGGCTGACTCCTGCCTCTGTGCTCGGGGATGACTCCTGGCTCTGTGCTCGGAGTCACTCTTGGCTCTGTGCTCAGGGTCACTCCCTGCTCTGTGCTCAGGGCTGACTCCTGGCTCTGTGCTCAGGGTCACTCCTGGCTCTGTGCTCATGGTCACTCCTGGCTCTGTGCTCGTGGATGACTCCTGGCTCTGAGCTCAGGGCTGACTCCTGGCTCTGTGCTCGGGGATGACTCCTGGCTCTGAGCTCAGGGCTGACTCCTGGCTCTGTGCTCGGGGATGACTCCTGGCTCTGTGCTCATGGTCACTCTTGGCTCTGTGCTTAGGGGTCACTCCTGGCTCTGTGCTTGTGGATGAGTCCTGGCTCCAAGCTCAGGGGTCACTCCCTGCTCTGTGCTCAGGGCTCACTCCTTGCTCTGTGCTTGGGGATGACTCCTGGCTCTGAGCTCAGGGGCCACTTCTGGCTCTGTATTCAGGGTCACTCCTGGCTCTGTGTTTGGGGCTGACTCCTGACTCTGTGCTCGGGGCTGACTCCTGGCTCTGTGCTCAGGGGGCACTCCTGGCTCTGTGCTCAGCGGTCACTCCTGGCTCTGTGCTCGGGGTCATTCCTGGCTCTGTGCTTGGGGCTCACTCCTGGCTCCGTGTTCGGGGTTGACTCCTTGCTCTGTGCTCGTGGATGACTCCTGGCTCTGAGCTCAGGGGCCACTTCTGGCTCTGTATTCAGGGTCACTCCTGGCTCTGTGTTTGGGGCTGACTCCTGACTCTGTGCTCGGGGCTGACTCCTGACTCTGTGCTCGGGGCTGACTCCCGGCTCTGTGCTTGGGGCTGAATCCTGGCAGCGCTCAGGACTCACAGCCTGGTCAGCAGCAGTGAGGCAAGTGCTTCACTCTGTTCTCTCTCTCCTGCCCCCACAGGGCTGCAGTCCCGGGACAGGTTTGCAGAGGGCAGTGGGGTGGGCTTGGGCACTGGGAGGTGAGCAGGGGTCTGCCGAGGAGCGGCTCCGGCCGTAGCCACCCCCCCATCTGGCACAGAAGGACCCAAGGGTGAGAGGTGTGACCAAGCACGCACAGACTCCCCTTGGCCATGGTGGCTGGCTCCCTGTGCCAAGCAGGGGTGGGGGGCCGGGGGCCTCTAGGCCAGGTGTGGCACGGCAGGCACAACAGGTGCCCGAGCCCCGCAGCCACCACGCCAGGTACAGCAGCGCCTGGGCGCGGTGCAAGCGGCATGCGGAGGTGACACTGGGTTCCGGCAGAAGCGTCTGACGGTATCAGACGGAACCAGAGAGGGGGTGACTCAGGCTCGGCTCCAGAGGCGGCCCTGGATCCGCAGAGAGCTCGTGGGGGGCGGGGGCCACTCTCGCCACCTGTGCCCACCCGCTGCCCGGCACACTCAGCGACCGGCGGTCCTGGACCCCCAACGCCGCAGGCAGGGGGCGGGCGGCCGCCTTGGGACCCCCTTCCCCGAGGGACACCATCCTCTGCCCACTGGCCCCTGCCCACCGCTGAGCGGGCGGGGGACCCCGGGGCGCAGCCCACCGTCCCCGGCCGGACCAGGGTCCCCGGGTCACCGCGCGGCCGGGCTGTCGCGGCTGATGAAACGCTCCAACGTTGCGGCAACTAATTAGTATGACGCTCGCGAGCCTCGGGCGCCGCGAACGCGGACCCCGGCCCCGCCGCCCGCCGGCGCCCCCTCCCCGGCCCGGCCCGGCCCGGCCGCCCACCCGACTCACCATGGGCTCTGCCAAGTTGCGAGGGCGCGCAGGGCGGAGGGGCCGCGCCCAGGCCCTACGGGGCTCCCGCCTGCAGGGCCAGCGGAAGGTCAGGGCGCGGGCCCGGGGCCGGGCCGGGCGGGGCTCGCGGGGGGTCGCCCATCGGCGGGGGCGGGGGCCCGGGCGGGGCGGGCGGCGCCTGTTGCGGGACCCCGGGCCGGGCCGGGGCGCGGGCGGACCCGCCGGACCCCGGCCGGGCAGGGCGCGGCGGACCCGACTTGCCGCCGCGGGGCCAGCGCCCGCCGCCGCCGCCCTCCCTAGGCCGGGCCGCGCGGGGGGCCGCGCTCGCAGCCCGCCAGCAACAGATGCGGGCCCGGCCCGCCCCGCGCCGTCGCCATGGACACGGAGCCGCGGCCCCCGCCGCAGGCCGGTGGTTCTTCCCGCGCCCGCCGCGCGCCCTTAAAGGGACACCGGCCGCCCGCCTCGCCGGCCACGCGCTCCGGCTCCGCGGGCGCCGCACGTCCAGGGCCCCGGGGCCAGCGCAGCGTGAGTCAGCACGGGACCCGCCCGCCGCCGCCCCCTGCCTCGGCCGGGACCCCCGCCCGCCCTGCTCCGGGCCCCGCCCCGGCCCCCCTCCCCGCCCCAGCTAGGCCCCCACCAGCCCGCCCCGCCGGCCCCACCCACCAAGGCCCCGCCCACACAGCCCCGCCCACCAGCCCCATCCAGGCCCCTCCCACAAAACCCCGCCCCATCCAGGCCCCTCCCCATCCCCCGCCCCTGCCAGGCGCCTCCCCACCAGCCCACCCTACCAGGCTCCTCCCACCAAGGCTCAGCCCTCACCGTCCCGCCCACAAGCCCCATCCAGGCCCCTCCCACACAGCCCCACCCATTCAGGCCCCGCCCCTGCCAGGCGCCTCCCCACCAGCCCAACCCACCAGCTCCTCCCACCAAGGCCCCTCCCACACAGCCCCGCCCCATTCAGGCCCCGCCCCTGCCTCCTTATCAGCCCACACCACCAGGCTCCGCCCACCAAGGCTCTTCCCACACAGCCCCGCCCACAAATCCCATCCAGGCCCCTCCTCCACAGCCCAGGCTACCCACTCAGGTCCTGCCCCTGCCAGGCGCCTCCCCAATAGTCCTCACCACCAGGCCCCGCCCACTAAAGGCCCCGCCTACATAGCCCCGCCCATAACCTTCATCCAGGTCCTGCCCACCAGGCCCCACCCACAAGCCCCGTTCAAGCCACGCCCACATAGCCCTGCCCCATCCAGGCCCCTCTCCAGTACACCTCACCACCAGTCCCCTTCCCTGCTCACCAACGCTCCGCCCACATAGCCCTGCCCACTAGACCCCCTTCCAGGTCCTCCCCATTACGCCTCTCCACCCAGATCCTGCCCAGCAGTTCCTTCTCTCCAGGCCCCTCCCCCTCAGGACTTCCAGGCTCCTCCCCCTTCGGGCTCTTTCCCCCCTCCTTCCTCCCCCCTCTCTTCTAGGTCTTGCCCCACCCTGAAGACTCCCCTCCTCCAGGTCTGACCCCCACCGCCCCTGCCCTATCCTCTCCCTCCTCCAGGCCCCTCCCTCTATGTCCTTCCCCTTTAGACTCCGCCCCTCCAGGCCCTTTCCAGGCCCCTCCCCCTCTGGACTCCTCCTCCTCCATGGCCCTCCCCTCTAGGTCCCTCCCACTCTAGATCTGCCCCCCCCCCCAACCCCAGTCCAGGCTGGTGGGGTCCCTGAAAATACTAGGGAAGGGGAGGTGGATCCCAGGAATCGGTGTCCTGTCCACAGGTGTTGGGGTCAATGCAGAGTTTCTGCTGGGGTCCCCTGGGGCAGTCCCTGGTGGGCCGGTGGGGCAGGGTGTGCCTCGGCCCCAGGCAAGGACGAGGCCCCTCGGGTGATTGTCCTGCTGGCCCCAGTTCCCAGCCACCCCAAGGTCTGGAGCCCATGCTGAGGAGGGGTCAGGCCTCCTGCTGCGCAGTTCTTCGGGCCTTCACTCCGCAGAGAGGGTTCTCATTTCATGTCCCCATCTTCCCTGACCCCACGCCCCTGTGTCCCCTGGCCCTTGCCCCCATGTCCCTGTGACTCCTGAACTATGCTCCTATGTCCCCGTGTCCCTTGACCCATGTCCCTTTGTCCCTGTGTCCCCTGACCCGTATCCCCATGTCCCCATGTCCCAGAGGCTTGTCTCAGGGCAGCCCCTCTCTGCCCCTGTGTCCTCCCAGGCTATCCTGGGTGGCAGAGTACATGTTCCTCACAGCACACAGGTCTGTGTGTGGACAGCAGAGTGGCTGGGGCTGGCGGTGCCCACAGTTCTTGGCACAGGCCACACCTCGGGGCTCCCATGTGCACCTGCCCTGGAGTCTTTTGCTCACGGAGTTTCCAGCCCTGAGAATGTCATTGTGGTCATTGCCGTGGCTCTCTGGGGGCCGGACTCCCGGGAGAACAGGAAACATCACCAAGACCGATGGCTTAGTCTCGCAGGGTTGAGTCCGAGGTCAGACCTGCGGGGACAAGGCCACAGGGCAGGGAGCTGTGGGCACAAGACAGTCTGGGGAGAACCTATGTGGAAGTGTCCTTGAGTGCTTCCCTGTGACCTGTGGTGACCATGGGCTCCCTCCTTAGCCCTGGGGGAGGGGAAATGACGCTGGAATGAGCCCCCGATGCTCACAAAGCCTCTTCCTGGAAAAGCCTCGTGAGCCTCCAAGGTCTAGGGCCTCTTGCATCTATGGGTGACCTGAAGAGAAAAGACCCTTCGGGGCCACATCTGGAAGGCCCTGTGTGTGGGCTGGGGGCATCTCTGGAAGGCCCTGTGTGGGGTGGAGGCAGCACATCTGGAAGGCTTGTGGGGTTGGGGAGGCCACAGCTGGAGGCTCTGTGTGGAAACCTGCTCCTGCAGCCTCGCGGGCTGGGGTTGTGGCAGAACACGTCCCCTCATTGAAGCCCAGGGCTGTGTCTGCCAACTGGCGCTGCTTCTGGACCCCGCCTTGCCCTCAGCAGGTTGGCCCACTGACACTGACTCTCATCCCCCCCAACCCTGCCCTGCTCTGGTTCATGCATCTGGGTTGGTGCCCTGGGCTGTCAGCGCAAGCCCTGGGCAGTGGGTGCTGCCTCTCGGGCCATCGTCACCTGGTGGCAGGCCCTGCTGCAGCTGCATCACTGCCTCCGTGGCTCTCTGGGGGCCTGTGGGCCCTGACTCCCGGGAGAACAGGAAACATCACCAAGACCGATGGCTTAGTCTCACAGGGTCGAGTCCGAGGTCACCTTGGACCTGCGCTTGGTGTGGCTTTACCTCCGGCCCTGACCCATTTGAACGTGCCCCAGTTGAACCCCGCTGACATGGCTGGGTGACCCACGTGACAGGATCCGCTGGCACCTGCTAGTTCCTGCCAGGCTGTGGTAATGGTGCCAAGCCTGCCTTGGGCTGCACCATACCCTGGCAATTCTGTTAAGAAAATGATTTCCTTCAAATTAATATTCCTCAGCCACTGATTTTTCTAGTATTAGCAATCTTGGCACACCATGGCATTCTCTCAGGCTTCATATCCGAAACAATTTTTATTCTCCTTTCAATATCCTGAAGCCTAAAAATAATCTTTTTATTTTTAAATTTCTAATCATTTTTCCAGCTGGTGTTCTTGCTTTTGCTGTGAGAATAGGAGAGTTTTGGAAAATCAGAACTGTTCCCCGAGGGAGCGTGGTGAGCCCACCTCAGGTCTCCACTGGTATCCTCCAAGGAAAGAGCAGAGGGGCTGGCAGGTCCCTTTCAGAGCACACGGGTCAGAGCAACGGAGTGTGAATGCAAGAGAGTGAGTACAGGGTACATACAGGTGTGAATGCAGAGACACATGCACACAGGCATGCGAGTGAATGTGTCAGACTGTACACACAACGTGAGAGTGTGAAGGTGTCGGTGGCACAGCGTGTGAAGGCGTCGGTGACACAGCGTGAGAGTGTGAGGGTGTCGGTGACACAGCGTGAGAGTGTGGAGTCAGTGACAAGTGTGAGCGTGTGAAGAGTCGGTGACACAGCGTGAGAGTGTGAAGGTGTCGGTGACATGGCGTGAATATGAAGGAGTCGGTGACACAGTGTGAGCGTGTGAAGAGTCGGTGACACAGCGTGAGAGTGTGAAGGTGTCGGTGACATGGCGTGAATATAAAGGAGTCGGTGACACAGTGTGAGCGTGTGAAGAGTCAGTGACACAGTGTGAGAGTGTGAAGGAGTTGGTGACACAATGTGAGAGTGTGAAGGCATCGGTGACATAGTGTGAGCGTGTGAAGAGTCAGTGACACAGCGTGCGAGTGTGAAGGAGTTGGTGACACAATGTGAGAGTGTGAAGGCGTCGGTGACATAGTGTGAGCGTGTGAAGAGTCAGTGACACAGCGTAAGAGTGTGAAGAGTCAGTGACACAGTGTGAGAGTGTGAAGGAGTTGGTGACACAATGTGAGAGTGTGAAGGCGTCGGTGACATAGTGTGAGCGTGTGAAGAGTCGGTGACACAGCGTGCGAGTGTGTCTGAGACCCCTGTGCAGACCCCTGGGCTTCCGGAAACATGTACATCTTTAATGTCTCCACTCAGGACACATGGACCTGGGCCAGCAACCTACGTTTGTAGCACACAATGCACACCAGGACCTACCTTTACACACAGGGCACACACGTGCACTTGTGGGATTGATATCTATGTGCCAAGACACACATGCACACCCGTGACACAGCTGCTCATACAGAACACACATTCACCATATGCCTGCATGTTCAGGAACTGCACACCTAGATTGCATCTGCACTTGGAGAACACACACACATGCCCACCTGGGCAGATGCCTGCTTGCCCTTAGGGTCGGGGTATTTGTGGGTCCATGTCTCAGCACTCAGGATTCTCCTCTCACACACTTTAGGATGCTCTCTTTTCAAAGTCTATAAAAAGCTAAAACCCTCATTGCTTTCAAAATCTGTTTCACAAAGTCTGACTGTGTGGCCAGGTCACCCAACGCTCCTCACTGTTTTCTGGTCAGAGCAGAGCTGCAGGTGAGGAGGAGGGTCTGACTCTCACAGGGCAGCAGGGTGGTTACCTGCATCCCCAGGCCCCGGCTTATCCCAGGGCGGGACGAGGGAGCACTGGTGCTCAGCTCCCTCTCCAGGGAGGACTCTGCTCACCA